TTACTTATATTTAATATTTCTATTACGAAATTGAAAAGGCCACTATATAGAGCCTTAGATCCTTTAGTATTACTAAATTGAACTTGCCACTACCACTCTTCACCATCTCAATCAATCTCTCAAAAAAAGTAGATGTCTCAAGCAATCTCAAAACTAAAAAAACAAACCCCTTAAACAAACAATGTCCTTGCTTATCCTCTCTCTCTGCATTTGATCTTCCTTTCCCTCTCTTCCATATATATGTAGCTCATCGTCATGTTATCACATTATCCAAAAACCAAGCTACCATCCCTGCTCCATTTAACAGAACCCAGCATTCTCAAACACAATCTAATATACAGCTTCTATATTCCTGAAGATATGATACTACGCAGTATATCAGCAGCTTAAAAATCTCACAATGCTATATTGCACATTTTGAGTTTCCATCATTTTCTAAGTGTTATGTATATATGTATGTGAAAGTAATAGCTAGATAGCTAGCTACTGAGATCCCCCAACCCAAGCCAATATGATTCGGGAAAGATTACTGTTATTTATGATCAATATATTCTGTATGCATTTTTATTTTGATTACTTCTCGAGCACGTGGGTTACGGAGTTGAGGAAACTAGGAAGCCAATACGGGTGAAGCATCCATCTATCCGTCTAATAATTTACCCAGTTCCCAAGTTCCCAAATTCCCAAGTTCCCAACGAAAAAGGTTCGCCCGTGATAGTTATGATCGCAAGTCCCCTCTTTCCCCCTCTCCCTTCCCTTCCCTTCCAGGGACAATATCCAGGCGGACCAAAAATGGGGATTTATAGTGAGAGGGTTTGGTATGGGGGTGCTAGTGCTAGATGGGTGGATGAATTGTGGGAGAGTGGAGAAGGAGGGGGAGATGGGAAATGAGGGGTTGGTAAGTAGGCAGTGTAGGAGTGGGGATGTGGGTGCTGGTGGGAGGGAGTGGTGGGAGACGTAAGGTGATGAGGATACATTCGAATGCTGGGAGAACGGATGTGAGAGAGGTGAGGAGGCGTAGAACGATGGTGTAATATGTCATTGTCAGTTGGGGACCATATCTAAATAGGTTTGGCTTCGGGGTATGCTCGCTTGAGCGTGGAAAAAGAAAACACTACAGAGAACCTACTTGGGCAAATAGAATAGAACAACTGCTAGGCACCAAGAAAACTTAAAAGACCGGTTCATAATGTAAGAAACCCAATTCTATTCTCATCCTTAAGATACCATATGATAAACCAGTAATTTGTTACAAAAGTGCTTCTGCCACATGAAACATCCTTCAATATCGTGTGTGAGTGTGAAAGCCACATCACAAGGACAAAAACTATTGTGCGCCAAAATCCCCATATCCCAAATAATCCTAACAAATCCGCAAAGAGGTATCGTCGCCAACGAATGCAGTACAATCGATAGCCATATCAATCATTCATTTATCATTTATCATTAATGTTATCAAAACCATAAATTGGCTTCCCTTGTCGTCGAAGGGCCCAGATAACCTAACGTATCTTTGTCAGCTTGGACTTTTTCACCACTTTAACCCAGTCGTAGAAGATGAAACTCACGTCATTTACAGTGACAGTCTTGCGCTTTGCGTGCTCGACGATAATAGTGCAATCGCGCAGAACCTGTAAGGTGTTAGACACGATGATCCTACTCGAGTAGATATTGCAGAGTATAACAAACATCCGCCAAGCGAGCCTTGATAGCCTCACGAACATCGTGGTAGATCAAAGCTGAAATACGCTTCACGCCACCTCTACGAGCAAGACGACTGTATATCATGATTAGTTTGCGTCTTCAATCTTGTCACAAGAGTTCGTACCGAATATCACCTTTGGTGATGCCGTTGATATTATCTTTCAGAACCTTGCTGAGATCGGAAACATATTAGCAGACTGTTGACTGTATTTATGAGCTGCGCAATCCATCCTTGACGGAAATGACAAGCATGAAGTTGCTTCAAAAATCTTTTAAGCATTCAAAAGAGTATCAAGTTGATTGGAGACCTTACCGGTGTCTCCTCAAACGAGGACCTCCAATTCCCCGCGCACCTGGACCTTTTCCTTTACCTGCACCTCCATAGCTGCTTGTAACGACAGTCTTGCCAGACATAGATTGATGGCCTCGTTTGGGATACGGAGATGAAAATGTTTGTGGTGCCATTTTGTTACAGAGAAGATGATGGTACACAATAGAGATGATGTACAGAATAAAGGTGACGGTATATCGCCCAGTATTCTTTGTCGGGGTGGGACGGGGGTAAGGGGGCAAAAGACAATTGTTTGTTTGTAGGTAAGTTGAAGAGAATCGGAACGCGATCAGAGGTCACGAGACTAAGGTACAAGCGCGTTTTTTGCTTTTTATATCAAGCCTCACTCTCAACAGGTGTTGGAAACAATAGTGTCATCCTGAAAAAGCAAATCTGTTGATATCCAAGCCTCTTAGAAAGACTCTATTACTCCATAAGGCATCTCCGAACCTCAAAATGTATGATGTACCTAACCAAACGCAGCCGTACTGTCTATCTCTTCTTCTGACGCCCGAAAAAGGAATTGCCCAATAATTCATCAATGCCATAAACTCAAGTCCCTAGATATTATACAATCATTCGGAAATAAACGTTGCCTCTGTGTAGAGAATTCCCTCCTCTGTAATTTCTTCGTCGCCAATCTTCAATGTCAAAGTGGTTGGCTTGCTACGCGGGCAGTACTGCGATTTTATTAGCATTGCAGAATTTCCTCCACAAGGTGTGACAAACCTGATATATGTATGGTCTGGTTCCAGCAACATTACCCACGATTTTCTTCACAAAGGCAGGTACCTCGGCCATAACATCGACTTTGTCGAGTCTCTCCTCGAGGTCGGCTTCGATCAAACCGGAAACGGTCTTGCCATCTTTTGTCTTCCCATCCCAGTCGAATTTAACAGCCTCTGGTTCGGGCCAGCCAGCATCCTGATCATTCCTGATCTTGGTGTGCTTTGCAGTATTTTCCGCTCCAGCACATATTATTTCACCATCCTTGACTATACCACCGACGCTAACAACTGTAGAACCATATGCTGGAGGTGTCGTGTATTCCATCATTATGGCCGAAAATTGTGGACCTTGGTAGTTGACGAAATTCCATTTCGCAGCAGCATGATGAGGTTTCATTCCTTGGAGCGCATGTATAAACAAAGCTTTGCCCTTGAAGTCTATTGATCCATCTTTGGTTGTGATGGATCCTTTGGAGACAGTACGTGGCCAAAATGCATGTCTCATCGAACCCCAGGGAGCCTTTGGATCTGTGCCATAATATGATTTGCCATCTTTTCCGACATGGAAACCTGGAGCAACTCGAGTTACGGTAAGGTTAACGATGGAAGCTTCATTCGTCAGAGATTTGATAGTATATTCTGTGCCATCTTCAGAAAGATCAATAGCAACATCGTCCGCATAAAAGCAGGTTTTATCATCGCTGAACTCTACATTACTGAGTTGATCGGAATGCCATAAATTAGGCTTCGAACTGCCTATCGGATAGAAGATTTTGCAGTTGAACTGGGTCGTTGTCCGTACGCCACTTACTATAGTATCAGCATGTCTTGCTTAGTAGGAAGGAGTATACATACATAACATTACTGTGTATAATTTGTGCCATAGCAATGTGACCGCTATTGGCCATTAAATAGAAAGTCTGCGTCTCTACGCTCGTTGAATCCATAGCAACCCATTTCATATCTTCTCTCGAAAGTTCCGTGTATGGTGTGGTCTCTGCTTGCTTGCTAACTGGTATTATGGCGGAAGGTCCATAAATTGGCTCTGCTGTACCGGCAACATTAGCCATTTGCTTTTTGGCCCAGTGCATCATCTTGAATAGTTGTTTCGTTGACTGTTGGAGGATTTAACTGATTTGTTGGGTTTTTTGGTCTTCAAAAGAGGGACAGCCGTCCTTCAAGTACGCAAAGTCACCCCTCATCGCTTGGTTCCTGCCTGAAGTACACCACATCCATGATTATCACGTGTGAGCCCCTTTCACAGGGTTTGAATGGATAGTTCTTGCTGTTGTTTACTTGCGAAGGATATTAATTGTGTACCTATCCATTTGTCGTATGACGTATCAAAATGAAAGGCACTGTGTTGGTTACATATCATCTTAGACTCTGAGAGAGATGCCGGAAACAATTTCACTGTGTGGATTTCCCTGAAGCTTGGGGTAACCTTGCAATGCCGTTTTTTTTCAAACCTTATCGATAAGGCGACCTAAAATTTTAATCTATCAAATCGATCTCAAGAACGCTTCAGTACCAAAACATATTTCATAACCAGAACCTCAATCGTGATGTCGAAAGCACGCGCCGCCACAGATGTGATAGTAAAGCTCATGGTAGGAGCTGGACAGGCCAGTCCGAGTCCTCCAGTTGGTCCTGCGCTGGGAAGTAAAGGTGTAAAGTCGATGGATTTCTGCAAGGTACACATTTCTCCAAGTTGGATAAGTTCCAAAAGTTTGCTGGCCCGACTTCAATTGCTTTACAACTACAACGTTTGTCTTTCTCAGTTAGCCACTTGGTCTAATGTTTTCACCAGGAATTTAATGCAAGAACATCCCATATGATAGCAGGAACTCCAACTCCGGCGAGAGTTACAGTGCGACCAGATCGATCATTCCATTTCGAAATACGAACACCAACGACATCATGGCTACTTCTCAGTGCGGCGGGTGTCGAAGCGAAGAAGGGAAAGCTGAAGGGGGCACCAGACGCGTTAACGACTGTGGGTACTGTTAGTCTGAAGCACATTTACGAGATCGCCTTAATAAAACAATCGGAATTGCGACTATCAGGTTTATCTTTGGAAGGGCTTTGCAAATCAGTAATTGCGTCGGCGAGAACTATTGGAGTCAGAGTTGTCGCATAAAAGGGGGCGAGGTTGTCGATCAGACCGAGTCGAACAAGCCGGGTCAATTTTACATCATTGTGGCGGCGTTGGGATTCGTATGTACACTGCCAGAGGAACGACTGGGGTCATATGGTGTATAGACGAATGTCAAGAATGTCAAGAATCTTTCGACGAGGAGTTCAATATATCGTCAACGGTGACTGATGGTTTCGATTTACGACGCTATCCAAAAAGATACCGGTATCCAGAAAGCATTCATGTATCAATACAAAACCTTCCCTAAAACCCCACACTTGGCAGGTTTGTGTCATTCGACCTGAGCTAGACCTGCGCTTTGAAATTCTTGATTGGGACCGGCGAGAGGAAATAATGAAATAATTCTGTATCTGGAGCTTCCCGATGTAGAACGGGATTCTCTCCATGGAAATCCGAGACACGACTTCCGATTTGCTGCAAGCCGATTGGATCACGTGTATATAGACCTCTTTTTTTTCTTGGAGCGAAATCGGTGGAACAGGGAGTTTCCTCGGTGGACATTCGGTATCGACAAGGCTTGCTTAACAGTGGAGTTCTAGAAGACGCCTAGAAGACTCACATCCCAGCTGTTAAGTGTCAGCAAAGCAGCAAGATCTACAAATAATCGCCCCCCCCCAAAAAGTAACAGTACGATCCACTCATGAACCATGCTCATTGGGTATTACCGAGAAAAGATACGATAGGGTGTGATGTTGTGCAAGCAAGCAGCCTTGAAGCAGGTAGGCTAATAATAATATGCAGGATCTTGTATCTCCTGCTGAGCTGCTGTACATGATATATATGTACTTATGACTTGACGGACTCGACTCGGAACGGCGTAATAGTTTCCAATTTGGATGGAAATGCTGGCTCCAATGATATACGCATGTACTTATTGTATGGCTCAGTGCTGTCTTTAATAATAATGAGATCATCGAGTGGAAATGCCAGTTTGAAATGACCATCCCCTATTTCTATACTCGAGTAGAATTGTAAGGCGAATTCAAGACAGAACAACAGCCAGTCACATTAGTTGCTCTACTTTCTCTGTACAGTATTCATTAACTAGGTATTTTTATCTCACCTCTTTTAAAATTTCGATCCACCTCTCTATAATATAATGCCTAATGTAGAATGAATGAATGACTATGGACGAGATCTCCATTATGAAAGACATCGGTCTGGCATTATTAGACATTAAGGTTTCGGTTTCAGTGTATGTTGAAGAATAAAAAGAAAAGAATAACCAAGAGAGACTTTGTTTTTACTAATCTATATATGATTATAATCCCAAAATGAATGTGAGTCAACCTCTGATTATCTTCTGAATTATAATTTCCTTTTCAATTCAATCTTATCCGTCCTTTGCATCAATATTCCACACGTCGTGCCTTGCCTTTTATATATCACTGATTGGGGAAAATACCAATCGTCAACATTACAAGTCATCACTTAAAATCGAAATCCGGCTATTGCGCTTATCTACTCGAGTATTGTACTTCTTCGTTTCTGTCTTTCTACTGGTACTTACTTGTACTTCTTCATCGAGTTATCGAACATTGAGTACTACCTGGTTGATGTTAGACCCCCCTAGAACTCTCCAGACCCCAGACCTCATTCGCTCCTAGGTTCATTCAAGGTTTATTTTCATACCCCGTCATCATTCCTTGTTCCACCGAATTCTTTCCTGCATTTGCCTCCACCCCAATATTGATTGAACTCTTGTCTATTATTATACGCTCTTGACGTTTTATTAGACGTTTTGTCGTTTTTTCATACTACTGTATACGATTACCATACCTACTTGTACTTGTACTATCCATTTCTTGCTTATACAAAATCTGATCGGATCGGATCAATGGGAGAGATTCTTGACTCGGATCTTCAAATACTTGTACTCAGTACCTAGGTCCTCAAATTCGACTTCAACCACAATACATACAAGTACAATAAATTTGCTTTTTTTTTTACTCTCAAGTACATTTTGCTTACATTCAATTTGATGATTGCTGTATATACGGATTACCATCGATTGGCGCAAACTAAAATTTATCTTTTTCTCGGCTTCTTCTTCCGTTTAGTTTACGATAACTTTCTTCTTCAGTATCCGCTTTTGATTCAAGAGGAACGGCTCCGGTAGCCCCACCATCAAACCTCCAAATTCTCCTTTCAGAATCAACCTCCTCACTTTCAATCCTGTCCCAACTTTGTGAAGGCTCCGGAGGTCAATCCTCGACCGTGGTGCAATTGCTCCAATATCCTATACCCCCCATCGCTCACACTATGGCTGAACCTCAAGATTTATCATCGTCGACTCAAACGGCCCCGCTTGGTGAGTCGCAGCGCTTACTTCTGTTGTTGTTGATCCAATTCCGCCATGGTTGCAACCTACAATTAAAAAGAGAAGGCTAACAATCTTCTCTCTAGCCGGAGTCGCAGGTACTGTACCGTTCAAATTCGAAAGTAAAACTTCTACTGAAGGCTCCCCCCAAGTCCGGTTCGCCGCGGTCAACGAGCAAATAGCATTGAATGAAGGACTCGCTGGTCACCATAACGGCACCGCTGCGCAAGAAATATCACACAAGGAACAGGCGGATTTAGACCAGTTATCAAAAACACTTCAAGGGACGCATCTGCAAGAACGTCGTATGAGCCACTTTGCATTCGAGCCTGTGTCTTTACCAGCTTCCAGAGTACGTCATTACCACTTACAAAATCCAACAACTTTACGGGTGTCTCCCATGTGTACTTTGGATGTCAACTTGAAGTCTCAAGCTCTACAAAATGTAGAAGAAGATCTGGCAGAACAACGGGTTAGATCTAGTAGTCTTTATGCATCAGAGACCACAATCTGGAGTTCCAGCCCCACTTGCAATTCCCAGAAATCTTTACAAGGGATGCGCTTTATAAGGCCCACAATAGTGCATATTGCTGTTGTGTATCTCTCTGACCTTAATCTTTGTCTTCAGCTCTGCTTACTTCCCTGCTGACTCGTTGTATTTTAGATACCTTCAACTGAAGAGAACTCGCGAGAGGCTAGCCGATATAACACACACAATTCCTCGAGTCGACCTTCCCCACACCAAAGTCCTCGAACATCATCTATGCATTCTCCACCCATCACGCCTGCGGCAACTCGATCGAGAGATGCCCCGATCGAAGCAGCAAAGGGGGCTCCGCTCCAGAGAGTGGCGGCGGAGGGTGATCCGGCCGCTGTGACTCCTCAGATCTCACCACCTGGAACCTCGCCCTCAACTACGAATGCCGATGCATCTCGACCTGGATCTTCTGGACAGCTATTGACTAGCTCTTCTAGCCACTCGACGGAATCGACTCAATCCAAACCGCATCACACTTTTTCGATCGGTCCTACTGCAAACGACACCTCCGTTACGGTATCCCGAGAACCTAGCCCTGTTCGTCTTGTTACTCCATCGGTTTATAGCAGACCCTTTACACCAGCTGGGGACGTAGATGATCCTTACGCTGCATCTAGGAGAGTCCCGCAGCCTAAGAACGCCGAGGCTATTGAGTCAAGGTTCAGGTTTACTGCGATAGGTGCAAAGAACCGACAATCTCCAAGCTCATCCACAACTAGCTTACCCAGATCGTCTAAAAGCATGGCAGACGTAAGAGCACCTGCGCAAGTCGTTGAAAAACGGCATACTGGTTTATTCGGACACAAGAGCCTTTTATCTGGTATTCACGATGACAGTGCATCATGCATGCACAAGACACATGGCTCTATGTCAGAACTCAAACGATTCCTAAAGATTGGTCAACACAAAATCAAGCGTTCTAACTCTCCCACACCTTCTATAAAATCCGGTATCTCAGCAACCAGAACGCCACCGTTTTCTAAGGGATCTCAGCAACTTCCATTTGGTGAAGATCACGGTTTAACATCAAAATATGGCAAGTTTGGAAAAGTCCTCGGGGCTGGAGCCGGAGGCTCCGTCCGTTTGATGAAGCGAAGCAACGATGGTAAAACATTTGCTGTGAAGGAATTCCGTGCCAGACATTCATACGAGTCTGAAAAGGAGTACACGAAGAAAGTCACCGCCGAATTCTGTATAGGCTCAACTCTACATCATGGCAACATCATAGAAACTTTAGACATTGTGCAGGAGAAAGGAAAATGGTACGAGGTTATGGAATATGCGCCTTTCGATCTATTCGCTGTCGTTATGACTGGGAAAATGTCGAGAGAAGAGGTGACCTGCTCTTTCCTTCAGATTTTGAGTGGCGTAACATATTTGCATAGCATGGGCTTAGCCCATCGCGACTTGAAGCTTGATAACGTAGTGGTGAACGAACATGGGATTATGAAAATCATCGATTTCGGTAGTGCTAGCGTATTCTTGTATCCCTTCGAAGGAGGCATCACGCTGTCCAGTGGTACGTCGCACCTTAACTCTCATTGTCAAACCGTGCTAACATGCTTGCCGTAGGTATTGTTGGCTCTGATCCTTACCTCGCCCCAGAGGTTTATGACGAGAAGAAATATGACCCACAACCAGCTGATATTTGGTCCCTTGCCATCATCTACTGTTGCATGTCTTTACGTCGATTTCCTTGGAAAATGCCCAGAGCGACGGATAATTCCTACAAGTTATTCGCTTCTCATCCATCACCAGGAGCGGAAATGATCGATGGGGAGGTTATACCCGTCGTAAAGGAGTCTGATGACAAATCTCTTCATTCGAACAACGGCCCCAACTCTTCAGTTCCTTCAATGCTCAGCCTAATTAATTCTATTGAAGGGGACAAGAAGGAGCCTCCAAAGCCGGAGGTGATCAAAGGACCATGGAGGCTGCTTCGCCTTTTGCCAAGAGTGAGCAGAAATATTATCGGGCACATGTTGACGGTTGATCCAAAAAGGAGGGCCACAATGTCACAAATTTTGGACGACCCCTGGGTCAGAGACACAGTGATATGTCGTCAAGAAATAGGCGAAGGCCCGGGCAAAGTCATAAGAGCTCCAGGCCATACACACACCCTTGAGCCACCAGCATCACAACCTTCTGCCAAATAACGAATTTTACGTAGCCTTGGATGACTTTCGGTTTGCATAGTCAGGGGTTGGGATTAGTGGGGCGTTTTTGGGGATGGCTCACACAGGTTGGTTTATATTCACGGCACTACTTTACAGTGCAGTTCATAGAGCTCTTTTCTAGACAGTAGAAGAATCGTGGTAGATTGTATATCCATAGGGATCATGGAGGTTTATATTATTGGTACTAGACATACATTGGGGTCGTTTTAGATAGGGGGGCGATGTTGAATCATTCTTGTGATATCATCGACAACTGTAATTGAAGCATACGCTATATACGTTCTGCACTTCCAACTTCTTTACACATACTGGTGTGAGACTCCAAAACGACGATAATAATTATGCGCTCAAGTAGACGTACGCATAGTAGAGTATCATGTGACCGGGTGTCTTGATCAATGGCCGATGTTCGGTTAAAGAAGATTCGAGAACTCTCTCTTTCTCCGAGAGCATGTACAAATTATTTTTCTCCACACCCAGTCCTCCGAGCCTCAATTCTTTGATTCCCCCCAAATAACGTTCTACAACTTATCAGTGTAATAATCAACTAACGTCAAGATGGTAAGCTTTCCAATTTTGCTTGTGCCGTCCATGACCGCGACGTTTCGACTGCCGGTTCAATTATTCTTGATCGGAAGCCCCATGGCACTTTAGCTTCTCCCCTGGATTACACCTCTAATAAATACTCTAATTTTAGTCTACCGCCCTCAAGTCAATCAAATCTCTCGCTCCTCTCCTCGACCGTGTCTTGGTCCAGAGAATTAAGGCCGAGAGCAAAACCGCGAGCGGTATCTTCCTTCCAGAGTCGAGTGTCAAGGAGCTCAACGAGGCTAGAGTTTTGGCGGTTGGACCGGGTGGTTTGGATAAGGATGGAAAGAGAGTTAGCTGTAGTGTTGCAGCTGGTGATAAGGTTTTGATTCCTCAGGTATGTTGAATTGGAATGCTGTGCTGTGGATGAGGTGGATGACTGCAGCGTGGTTCAGTAACGACTGGATTCGGAAGGCGTGGTACACATGGATTGAGCTGTGCTGACTAGAAGTAGTACGGTGGATCGCCAGTTAAGGTTGGGCAAGAAGAATACTCTTTGTTCAGAGACCATGAGTGAGTCCTATATTCTCGCACATTCTTCCGATTTGAGGCATGTTACTGATCAACGTTATAGTATCCTTGCAAAAATTAACGAATAAACGCTTCCACGTAATTACGAGTTGAAGGGAGGGTGTACCATAGATGTATTAGGTCGAGCATAGCGGGCAAAGAAAACAAATATATCAAGTGAAAAGTTGTTGAAAGGACAAGCTGAAGAGCCACCCTAATACTAAGGGGCTCAAGGGGACGAAGTTTTTGTGTATACCTTGATCTCCGCCGGTGGAATGCCGTGCATGAATTGAAATGAATCTCTCCTCCACAAATCTCAAAGTATTTCGAGGTACAATACATTTCGGTCTTGATCGCAGTCCAAGGGATTGTTCTTGCATCGGGCATTCACTCGCAGACATTGAAAGTTATGTTCGTACTCTGTGTCAGAGGATCAGCCCGCAATGTTGTTCTTTTTGATGCAATTTACAAGAAGCAGGCGATAATGTAAAGGAAACCTATGGAGAAGCTCCATAAAGTGATATGGGTTATAAATTATTGGCGATTGTTCCTCAAGCCAAGAAAAGGGGCCGCTTTCTGAAACCAAACGAAAATGGTTTTAACGCCTTGCTCGCCCTTGTTTAATTTCTCGAGGAAACGGAGAACCAATAAACGATGTGGTCACACCGACACCAAGTATTCCTCCAGCTGCACATTTGGCCTCACGATTTCATATCCATATTCTTCTCCAGTTTCTTTTGTTGGTTATAGGATTGCTATGCATTGTGTAGGTGACGAAGAGTCTTTTCTTTTTCGCGAGCCAGCAGTTCAATTTGTCTTTGGATTGGAACAAGAGCACAGAAAGAAGTAAATTCTTATATACTTGTACAAAGTACAAGTACTCAAATATTTAAATTACTTATTGTGAATGATTAAAGTGAATAGGAGATTCAAGTATATAAACGAAAGGCTCGTTACGGCAAACAATATGAACGACTTTGATTGCACACAATAGTACACAAAATCCTTCTTCCTTCCATAACCACCACTTTTCGAATCATCGCGATCCTATCTCTTTTTTATTCACAATACACTCTTTTTGCTTCCTTAGAAAGGAAGTCCCTTGTCTTCGATTATTTATTTTACTTGTCAAATATTACCTATATTTGAGATTACAATTCTGTTTACCCATCTTTCTCCAGAAGTCGATCTCTCGAAGAAAATGAATTTCCATCTTTTTACACTTGCCCTGGTGGCATGTTACTCTTCTCAGCATGTGGCTGCTCATACGGTCTTCACGACGCTTTTCGTAAATGATGTATCGCAGGGCGATGGAACTTGTGTTCGCATGCCTTCGGATCCCAGCACAGCTACGTTTCCTATCAACGATCTGGCAAGTGACTCGATGGCTTGCGGTAAGTTGATTTTAGATGAAGATCCGTTGATGGGATGATGCTGATGCAGATAGGATTTAACGGTACGATGGGAGTCGATCGTGTCTGTTCAGTTGACCAGTCCTCGAAATTGAGCTTCTTGTTTCGCGAATATGCGGATGGTTCAAGCGCTGGGGCTATTGATTCTAGTCACAAGGGTCCTTGTGCTGTTTATATGAAGCGCGTGGCTTCTGCTATCAACGATACGGCTGTGGGTCCTGGTGAGTGTTTACCTTACTTTAAAGCCGGATATCTAGATGCTGCAAGCCCAGAAATAGCGGGGCATCTTTTGTTTATAATGCTTCTGAGTGAAACTAACTTTCTCCATAGATTGGTTTAAGATCTGGGACGAAGGCTACGACACTAACACAAAACAATGGTGCACCGAGAAACTGATCCAAAATAACGGCTATCTCTCCGTCAACATCCCCAGCGATCTAGCAGGCGGATACTATCTCGCGCGCCCCGAACTCCTCGCCCTTCACCAAGCTGACAAGACTCCTCCAAACCCTCAATTTTACGTTGGCTGTGCACAAATCTATCTGGATTCTGCCGAGACAGCTGTTCCGAAAGATACAGTGAGTATCCCAGGTTATGTCAGTATCAGCGACTCATCTGTTCTCTACAATATCTGGGATCCACCTCCTACACCCTACACAATGGCTGGACCCGCACCCTTTCAACCAGGCAGCTCACCCACTCTCAACATCACCGGCGCCCAAGCTGCGAAATTCTCGGCAAATCAAGGTCAGGGAGAGGGACTTCTTCCGCAAAACGCTATTCTCACTAATGCCAATTGGTGGGCCGTCGAAGTCGCTGCTTACACGACGGAAGCTGGATGTTGGGATGCGAGTTCGGATTGTTGGAACCAAACGACGGTATGCTATGCAAGTGCGCCGCCGACGGGCGATGCGGGATGTCGGGATTGGGAGGCACATTGTACGCAGATTCAGGATGCTTGTCAAGGGAGAAACTTTAATGGGCCGCCTAAACTCGCGAAGACGACGGCGAAGATGCAGCCGACGCCTACTATTGCACCGGCGGCTTCGCAGACGGGAGGGGTTTATGCGGCTGGTTCGACGGTGGTGCAGGCGGGGGATTTGAAGGTTAGTGTGGATGGGAGTTGTGGGGATGATAATGGTCAGACTTGTAAGGGGAGTTCGTTGGGGAATTGTTGTAGTGAGGCGGGATATTGTGGGAGTGGAGGGGATTACTGTGGCACGGGATGTCAGAGGGATTTTGGAGTCTGTGGATGAGGTGTTGGTAGGAGGGAGGGATGGGTTGAGATGAGAAATATCGGATAGGGGTGAAATTTGGGATCGGAGTTTTGGCTTGAGTTTTGCTTGTATGGTGGCAGAAAGGAAGGAAAGGAAAGGAAAGGAAAGTTCGAACAGGATTCGACATCCTTGGGTGAGGAATGTGATTATTCTATTCATTCGATTCATTCGATTCTGTGTATGTTTTAAGCATCGGTTTTAGATCAGTTTAGGTCAGAAATGGTATACGGTATACCCATTTAGATATACGTGACGAAACATTGGGCAATAATCTGAAATCGGGATGATGTACTTGAGTATATACACTCATAATATAACTACGGTAACTGTGTTCTCTCGAAGTTTGGGATTAAATATAACATACTAGGTATTTATCTACAAGAAACGAGGAAGGAAGTAGGAGTGTGTGCGAATATTAATATGTGTGATCTGAAAGGATCCCTGGTGAGCAATTTCGGGTGACTGGATGAATGTGAATTGTAAAACGTGGAAAAAGATAATTGATAAATAATGGATGGTTTGGAAAATTGTAGCTCAGAGACGATGTTTACTTAGACTATATGTATTTTATGTTTAGATTGAGTCAGATAGACTTTCTATATTTCAGAATGATCCTAATAGAAGCAACGTTGTGTCATATGTATAAAGTTGGTTGAAACTGCTACCGATGAGCTCCCGGTGAGCCCCCGGTGAGTCTCCATGTGTATTGTGAATCCTCATTATTCTAGTGGTGGCGTGCGAGCACGCTAGCGCAGCGGCCGCATTCTGCCCCACGATTTTGAACTTCCCCTCCAAATTTAAATTTGAATTGAAAGTTTGTGACAGGTTTGTACAACGTCGACATATTGTAGCCATGGATACTTGGATTTCGAGGCCGGTTTGGTTGTATGCAAACGATGGTAAGATACATCTTTCTACGCTTTCTTGATTGATGAATACCAACTAATGAGCAATATAGATATCGTCGCATTATGGCATCTCTATCGCATTCCCATTCTCCTTACAACGGCCACCTTCCTCATACTCGTTAGGATAACCCTTCGTCCTCGAGCTTCGAGAGAGAAACTATCTGCATCGCCTGTGCCCGCATCACCGGTTCTACCTGCGGTAAAAGAGAAAATCTCTCCACCGGAAATTGACGAAAAGAAAACGAATGGCGTCAAAGCACCACGAAGAATTGTTGGAGGGGTCAAGAAACGCAAATCCTCCGAGGAAAACCTGCAGGCTGGTCCAGAAAAGATTCAAGTCCTCGTCTTCTTCTCCTCGATGACTGGTACGACCGAAGTGACTGCAAATGCTTTCACGGAGAAGCTTACAGGTAACCTCAAAACTCGTGCGCAGGATCAAGAAATCAAATATCTCGATCCTGAATTGCTTGATCTTGCATACATCGATTATGACGACTATTTCATTAGCCCACCGAAGGGCGAAGCTGGAACTAGCTATTTCTACCTAGCACTTATCCCGAGTTATAATATCGATACTGTGTTGGACACTTTCCTGGAACATTTACAAGAAACGCACAATGATTTTAGAATCGACACGGCGCCATTGTCGTCTTTGTTAGGGTATTCGGTGTTTGGGTTTGGAGATAGAGAAGGTTGGCCAACAGAAGAGGAGGGATTTTGCTCGCAGGCTAGGGATCTAGATAAATGGTTAGCAAAGTTGACGGGGAGAAAGAGGGCATTTCCTTTGGGGATGGGTGATGCGAAGAAGGATGCGGGAGAGAGGTTGGAGGAATGGAGGGAAGGGGTGGAAGATGTGCTGGAACATATTGCAACGACGGGAAGCCTAGGCGAAGGGGTTGCTGGAAGTGGAGATGCGGTAGAGAGTGATGTAGAGGATATCGAGGATGACGACGACGGAGAGGTTCTTTTTGATGAACAAAATGTTGCTTCGAAAAAGGCCAAGACGCAGAAGAAGGACGACAGTCTAAATGATTTGGAGGATATTGGCGGTGTTCTGAACAACACAGAAACTATAGAGAATACTGTCGAAGAAGAACCGGAAGAACTCGAGATAGACTTCACGACAGTTGGATTGAAAAAGGGGAAAGCAAAGACAGCTCCGGTTGTAGCTAAAGAGATGGTTCCCAAAACATCACCTACATATGCAGCTTTGACAAAGCAAGGCTACTCAATTGTGGGCTCACATTCGGGAGTAAAGATTTGTAGGTGGACAAAATCGGCTTTACGTGGCCGAGGTTCTTGCTACAAATACTCGTTTTACGGAATTGCATCCCACCAGTGTATGGAAACTACACCTTCGTTGTCATGTTCCAACAAATGTGTCTTCTGCTGGAGACATGGCACCAACCCCGTTGGAACAACCTGGAGATGGAAAGTAGACCCTCCAGAGATGATCTTCGATGGCGTCAAAGCTGGACACTACAAAAAGATCAAGATGATGCGAGGAGTTCCAGGTGTCCGAGCCGACCGTTTTGCGGAAGCAATGCGCATTCGTCACTGTGCTTTAAGTTTAGTCGGCGAACCCATTTTCTACCCTCACATCAACGAATTCACCAGCATGCTCCACAAAGAACACATATCCACCTTCCTTGTCTGCAATGCACAACATCCCGACCAACTAGCCACTCTTCAACCCGTCACCCAACTTTACGTTAGTATCGATGCCTCAAACAAAGATTCTCTCCGTAAAATTGACAGACCTCTCCATCGAGACTTCTGGGAACGTTTCCAACGCTGTCTCGAAATCCTTCGTGAGCGTCGTTTTGAACAGCGTACCGTGTTCCGCCTCACACTCGTCAAAGGTTTCAACATTGAAGACGAAGCAGAAGGCTATGCAGACCTTGTGGAAAAAGGATTGCCTTGTTTCGTAGAAGTCAAAGGTGTCACATACTGCGGAACATCGTCCTCCGCCGGCGCAGGACTTACAATGCAAAACGTACCATTCTACGAGGAGGTTTGCGCTTTCGTCGAAGCCCTCACTGCAGCTCTCAAGCGCAGAGGGTTAGGATATGGTATTGCTGCGGAACATGCCCACAGTTGTTGCATCTTGATCGCCTCCGACAGATTCAATATTGCAGGTAAATGGCACACGAGGATTGACTATCAGAAATTCTTCGAATGTCTAGAGAGTGGGGAGAACTTTCGCCCAGAGGATTATGTCGGTGAGGAAACGCCCGAATGGGCAACGTGGGGACAGGGTGGCTTCGATCCCAGGGATGAGAGGGTGTATAGGAAGGGCAAGAATAAGGTTCCTTTGCCGGATAGTCAGAGGGTGATTATGGGGAAGGTGGAGGAAGTCAAGGACGATGACGAGGTTGAGGGTGAGAAGGGTGGGAATTCTCTGGAGTTTTGAGATACTATATTCATGTGATGATTTCATTTATGCAATACAATACAAAGCAGTATCCTTTATACCATAGTATAGCAAGCATAGTATAGCATATCCTAAATCTATCTAAAAAAGATATCAAAACCAAACACAACAAACTTCACCTAATCTAATCTTGTACTCGTAGTGTAGTAAGCCAACCCCCATCTTGTTTCTCCAATCCTTGACTCTCATCACATATTTCCCCTTCTTTCCCCCTTCTTCCCTCTAAACTAACCTACTAGGTAACTTTAAACCACCAATCCAGCAAATCCCCCTTCACATAACATGACATGGCATAGCATAGCATAGCATCACAACAGTAAGACGAAATGAAACTCGGGGACTAGAATCAGGACCAACTATTATTAGGACCAAACTTTAGGATTAGACACTAGACGCTAGGATTAGACATTTCCTTCAGATAGGGTTTCTATACCCCACCCTTTTACTTTACGAGTAGTATGAGTACACAACTGTAGATTGTTTACTGTAAATAATTTACTGTAGATGATTTATACCTGGCTGTACTTTAGTTACTTACTCCGTATCGATACCCTTCTAGAGTATACAAAGTAATATTTCAAGGTACATATTGTTTCCCCCTACGCCTTAACAGCCTCCCTCTTCATCCAAACCCATCCAAACCCATCCATGTTCAAGAAGATGTGATGTGATACGAAGAGTTCAGCGTAAAAGCCTAAGAGTTAAACAGAAGTAAGACCCCCATACCTAACACCCAACACCCAATATACCGCAAACAAGAAATCTGCAAACGGTGTCTACACATCCTCTCTCTCTCTCTCTCACCCCCCCCCTCCACACACACACACACACACACACACACACACCCACCCACCTACAAAAAACCCCAACCAAGTTATTTTTTATATAAATTATTTCTTCCATTTCATAGCGCAAATATCGAGTGCAAATATGTACCTACCTGTATGCCGTATCCCCAGTTGCTCCATACCCATCCCATTCATTGCTCCATCCCAAAGACTCTTTTTTTTCTCTTACAATAATAAGAAAAGATAAGATGTGCATTGCATTGCATCTGATCTTACAACGTAAAATCTGCCTGGAACACCTAGCCGTCCGTCACAACAAGACTGTGATAGGAACATGCAAATAAATAGGCGTCCACCTCCAATTTGATTCCAAAAACACCAGCCTGTAAGATCCCTTGCCCACCGTTTACCCGCTTGACAAAGCGAATTGTTGACTACCCTTAGAAAGAACATAAAGAACCCAGAGAAAGTAAAACTCCCCTTGTCCCACAATCCATTCCGTGTTCCATGTTCATAAGAGTTCATCTTAGCTCAGTCCAGCCCAACCCAGCCATCAGTACGTTTATCTAGTCAATGAATAAAAAGCAACCCGAGTTTAAGCCGCAGGATTTGCGCTCGCCTCTCCCCCATCCGCCAACTCCTCTCTTCGAATCATTACCCTCTCATTACAAATATCAATAAACATCTCAAATTTCTTAATCACAACCTCCTTTTGTCTCAACTCTTCTTTCAGTTCCTCTACCTCTCTCTTCCAATCTGCCTTGACTTTCTCCACGTCTGCTTGGGCTTTTGCAACCTCGGTTCGAAGCTCGGCGCGGAGCTTTTCTTCGAATGTCATGGGGGGCTTTTTGTAAAAAGTGGGGAGGGATTCCATAGCTGTGGGTTCTACGCGAGAGGGATCTCGTTTGATGGCAGCTCGGGCGTTATAGATGTCGCGGGGGAGGAAACGGACGGTGGGATTGTCGCGGTGGAGAATCTCGAGAGTATCTTTTACAGATACACCTGAGGATAAAGTCAGTCGATCAATTTTTCATACGCATAGAGAAGTAGGATTTGACGTACCATTTTCCTCGAGAGCCTTTACGGCCGCAATTGCAATGGGATCTAACTTTCTAGCTCCCGGATGCTCCGTGGGACTCTCGCTCGGCGGATGATTGTGTGTTAAGTGCTCTCCATCAATTCGACCTCGTAAAAGCCAAGCAGTCTTGTTTTCGAGACCAAAGACTCCAAACTCACAACCGCATTTACGTGACTTGGTTTTACGTTGTCGCTGTTCACCCGGAACCTTTTCCTTGTTGGTTCCGCCGCGATCACATATAAGGAATACTTTCTTCAAGCCTCTATTGTCACGTTTGGATCTGCCAATAACGAACGCATAACCATGTGTCAAAGCATGTGCCTGTGCAGCTGAAAACAGAGCCTCAAAAGTTGGATAGCTACCTCCTGGTGGAGCCGTTAGCATGTCATCTGGGTCCACTTCTGGAGCTTCAGTTTCATTATGTGCATCCGCCGGAGAAAGAAGGGAATTGTTTGGATCCAATTGTTGATCGAGTGAAAGTTGAGGATCAATCATGGACATGTCCTGAGCGGAGCTTGCCGGTGAATCTTGCGGTCTCGCAGACCCGAGGTTAGAGTTGGCGGGGGATTGGTTCATGGCAGGTCGTTGAATGCCAAGACTTTGTCCTTGCAACGCGGGAGATTGTGACTGTCGTTGCTGAGCTGCAAATTCTCGAGCTTGACCCATGGCGGATGGGGGCGTTGGGTGAACGGCGTGATTGACAGTCATGGATTGGTTTTGCGGGGTATGTTGAGGGGCCATGTGAATTATCGTACCCATGGGCGGTGGTCCATTTTGTCTCTGAGGCTGTCGTTGAGAAGTTTGGCCATTCGTAGTATTACTCAGGATGCCTTGAGCAATTTGTTGTTCGGCAGATACTCCATTGTTGCCATTTTGTCTTGGTGGAACGGGTTGCTTATTGGCGTATGGGGTAGTGTATGGAGAATTGTGTTGTGGAATTGGTGGACCACGAATACCTGTTGATGTTGGTCTTGGGTAAGCAATGCTTTGTTGACCAAGATTTTGTAGACCAAGATTTTGTTGACCTAGGTTTTGTTGACCCAGATTTTGTTGACCTAGGTTTTGTTGACCTGGAAAGATGAGACGTTGCGGATTTGGTTGTTGATATGAAGTTCTCGTAGGATCTTGAGGTGGTAGAGACATGATGATTAAAGCTCGAATAGCTCGTATCGCAAAGTGAGCACTTGAGTGGGTGGTGGTCAACAAAAGTGGTGAATGTATCAATGGGAAAGAACTTTGGAGTGTGGACTCATCAGGAATTTTACTGACTTTAGTCTAATAGATTACTAGGTATGATTGGTTAATTTACCGAGGTATTTATATATTTGTAATTTGAAGAAAAGCTATGGCCTAAGGCGGCGAAGGGCGGCAAGATCGACGGAAATAGCATTGTCACGGACCTAATAATGGCGTCAGCGATAATATTGGTAGGTGGGGTCTATTCTATAATGATGGGTTACTGGTAATCTCAATATTGATATTTATATTATTCTCTCATGTGTATAAAACGTACCTATCAGACAAGATAATAATATATCATTATCAGTAAATAAAACAATATAACTTTCTCCTTAAGGTAAGAGAGAAGTTCTAGACTATCACTATCACAATTACCAAGTATAAACATTTATATCAAGTACAACAAAAGACTTTATTATATTCATGCTGTTGGTGCCCCCCCCCCCCCTCAAAAAGAAAATATCCTCAACTGCTTTTTGCATTTTGGTATAATAAGTAGTCTAATGCAAGTCTACAAAATTTGGATGCATTCCGGATTAGGCCACCAAAGAATTATTCGTAGGCAATACCAATTAGAATGCTGTTCCCAAAGGATGCCATAGAACCTCTCATACAGAAAACAGAATGTTCATTGCTTCTGTCTCAATCATTGTAATGCAATACCGCATATCAAGTGTTCATCTTTAGTTGCTCCATTTGTATATCTAGAGGAAGTAGTCGGGAGTACCTAGCATTGTCAGTAAAGCGATTGCTGTTCAGATTCATGGGACACTTACGACGTGATACCATTGGCTCTCCAGCTCTTGGGCAAGGATCGAATTGAAGGCTAGATTGTATTAGAAGCCGCGAATTCGGGAGGGCAACGCTGCGACTTACAAGGTATATTTAAGATGCTCATCAATTTCCATAATTGCTGCTTGATTACCACATCTGTAGCAGTAATTGGGGGCTTCTGTGGTTAGCATCATATGTACTTGCCTAAACAAGATATGGGAGCCTTACCTGAGAAGATTGTAACAACATTCCTATCTTGAGACCAATTATATCCCTCCATGACCAATTGATGGGCCCTTGCGACCAAAGTTAACCCGTTATTATGATTGAACGCCTCCGAAATGTCTTGACCGAAGGTGTAACCTGCTCCTCTAGGAGATATTCCCCATCCGCATCTGTCATCTGGATCCGACCATAGCAAATCGCACATTGGACCTTCATGTGGCACTTCTTGTATACGATCGAGGGCTCTGATGTTGTCCAACGTGTCAATACTGGGGGATAGACCTCCGTGAAGGCAGAAGATTTGGTTGTCGATGAGGGCGGTGAGGGGAAGGTAATCGAAGAGATCGGTAAAGTACTTCCAGACATTTGCATTTCCATATTTTCGGAGACACTCATCGTAGAAGCCGTAAACTTGGGTGATTTGACGGGATTCGTGGTTACCACGGAGGATGGTGATTCTTTGTGGATATCTTATTTTTAGAGCCACGAGAAGAGTGACTGTTTCGACTGAGTAGTAACCTCGATCGACATAGTCACCTATGACAACGTGTCAGTAATGCCAGGAAAAGGGCAATAAGGGATAGGAGACATACCCATAAATAAGTAATTGGTATCTGGGTTTGGTCCGCCAATTCTGAAGAGCTCCATCAGATCATGGAATTGCCCATGAATATCTCCGCAGACAGTAACAGGGCATTTCTAGACCGTTGATCAGCTCTTTGAAGTCCAACACGAGAAGGGCAAGCATACCACCGGCTGTACATTCGACTCGTCCTGCAACACTTCTCGTGCCTGGTAACGCGTCCTTGGTTAGCTTGCTCATACTACTCAAGTCTCAAAATATCACTAGATCCGCAAACAATAATACCTTATCGCAAAGCCTCTGAACATCTATCTCGGCCAGCTGCTTGCATGCCATCAAGTTCTCGATCCACCCATCAAGAGTTGGTATAGATGCAGGTTCTGCTGCTGGAGATAATTTCGTGGGCGAAGGCACCCTGCCTACATCTTCCATATTTGTATCCATTGTATTCCTTCTATCGTATGATGAATTCGATGATTTGTTGTTATTTGATTGTTGATATTGAGTTGCTCGAGCTTGGTGACGACAAGCGCGCGGGTTGGTCGTTAAAGGGCTGTAAAGTTTGTTGTTCTTTTCGGGAAGCGGTCCGCGCAACTTCAACTAGTATCTTATGTTTGGAATCGCAACAGCAATTTTTATCATAAGATTAAGAGCGTTCGTCGTGCAGAGATGTTTGTGGAGGGGGCTTTGAGGTGTGGAAACGGTGCGCAGATTTGAAAGGAACAACTGCTCGCTTAGTAAGCCAATTTTAAGATCGCAATGGAGAGGAAATGGGATTATATTTATTAGAACAGGCAAGAGAGCATGCGCCAATATGGATGTCATATTTAACTTTATTTCCTCATTTTCATTCATGTTAATGATCGATTGTTTTACCGAAGTAAGATCAAGTTTTAGTTGCAGTAAGGCGATGTAGAATCTCAAATTATTCTCATTCAATTTGATTAATGAAATGCTATGGGAGAATGTTCTCCCTGAGCACCTTTGGCCAGTGTTTAAATTTAAATTTGGTAGATTCCAATCTACCCATCTGGCGTTACATTATGCCAAGCCTAATCCTATAGGTCCATTGAGAACATCTATCGAGTTCGAACCAATGAGACTGCTAAAGTCCAAAGCAACTTCGGAGAGCATTTTCGCATGCTCTCTTGCCTGATCCATGCATTCAGTCCATACTTGACCATCTTTCTCCGTACTGCTAAGCTGTCGTGCAAGAATGATATTGAATGCATCGACCTGCTCTTTGGCCCATTTTACGCAGGCACTCATAAGTGGCTGCGGAAAACATGCTTGGAAGGTTGAGACAGTATTTCGGATGATCGTGAAATACACGAATGATACCTCCCATATATATTGGTGGAGGTTGCCCTCGAAAATACATTGTCTTTGGAAAAAATCAGTAGAGTTTACAGACCGGAATTGCTTATCATACCTCGATCTCTTATGGATTATGTTTCCCCGAGCTTCTAAATATGCTTCTCTGGCCCGATCCTCGAAGCCAAGACTAGTTAACCAGCTGATATTGCGCCTAACTTTCTTAGGCTCATTGTGTGTATCAACAAGTTCACGGGTGATTAATTCCGCAAGCCTTGTTGCCCTTTCATCGGCTTTGAAGCTAATGAAATCCTGGGCGACAATATTGCTTTTAAGACCTTTGGCCAAGGAATTGAGTTTGGCGACCCGTTGTACTGCTGTGTCAAAATGTTGAAGGGCGATGTCGATATCCAGCTCATCAACCTGGCTTTCCACCCACCGGAGATTTTGCTGCTTGCCATCAACTTCGATGAGCATATCTTTGATATCCGAAAGAGTCTCGAGTAAATCTGTCTTTTTTAAGAGGCCTGGGTCCCGAGAGGCGAAGTAATTGATTGTTTCTTTGGCCCTGTTGCTCGTTTCCATTTCTGACCGGAGACCTTTATGAAGCTCCTCCACCGCTTTTCGGAAGTTCATCATAAGGGAAGACTTTTCATTGTCGCTCGATTTTTCAGTTCGGTAGGTAAAAGACTCCTGACCTACACCCCTTATCATGATTGCATCGGCCAATTTATTACGCACACTAGTTCCTTCACTGGTTCCCGCAAGGTCGACAATTTCAATGTCCAACAACGGCCAGCATCTGTCTGCCACCAATTTTGATGGTGCTTGTCGTTGATCTGCGCCTTCGACTTTTCGCTTTTTCCTCGATGCAACAAGAAGATGGTCATTTAACAAAACGATCTGCATCGCTCGTCTAGATTTCCAGGTGGCATTATCAAGCTCTATCCATAGCCCTGCATTCTGTACCACGTGACGACCAGGAGCCGCAGGTAGAAACTTTTGGGAGCCTTCAATAGTTTTCCATAAAGCCTAGTAGTGTTAGTAACCCTTAAATACCAATATTCGAGAGGAATCTACATACTTGAAGTTGCGAGTTCCACATGGCGGTTCGGTCTGCCACGGAACTTCGCTTGTCTCTCTTGCTCAAAGTTGGCGGAAAGCCGTCGAAATTAGTTAAGGATGGTCCTTGCGAAGAGGTCGTTCTAAGAGCAGTGGTGTTGGTTTTAAGTTCCGCCATCAAATTTCGGAGTGCGCGCATCTCCCCTTTCAGCTTTTCGGCCTCTTTACTAATTTTTATAAATTGTGTTCGGTTTTGATAAACGTTTTGCTGCAAATCTGTAGAAGTGCGATTCTTCATCTTCTTTAAGTTTGTTTGGTAATCCTCAATATCTTGTTCTGATGCATCACTTAAGAGTCCCGCTACATACGCATCTGGTCTCAAATTGGGATCACGTAGAGCTCTCTGATCTACTACCAGACCAGGTCCTCTCGCCGGCGAGGGACCTCGTCCACGGTCATTTGCTTGAGCATACTGAGCTGGTAAATTAGGAACAGAGGGGAGAGGAGGAGCGGAAGGGTCGAAGTCGGAGGGAAGGTTATTAAATCGAGTGGAGTATCGCCGTTTCACCAAATCCGAAGTCTACAATACTTATTAGCAGCTGTTCGTGAACGCACCAGGGACTTTGATGACAAAAACCAATAGGAACTTTGACAAACCTTCCCACCAGGTTGAGGGCGTTGCGGGGGTGGAGTATCAAAAGATGACTTCCCAGCACTTCGTGGTCCATCTCCCCCAGTTTGCGGAATTGGGCCGGATATCTGTTTGGGAGCACTTATTGCTGGACGACCTTTCCTCTTGGTCCGCAGAGACACACCTTTCTTTTCGTCTGACATAATGCAGCTGTGGTGTCAAAGAATGGGTTGAGGGGATGAATATTAGATGAGTACTAAGTAGTTGTATGTCGATAGAACGTGTTTTAAGGTTCAGGTTGTTGCATAGGCATTTAAGTTAAAGCAACAGTAACCGAAAGGAGCAAGCGTTCCCGCATGTATGTAAGTACCGGTACCTGACTTGGTCAGTTAGACTTCATGGATAGAAAGTCGGTCGAAATATCATAATAAATGAATTTAGTGATTGAACTATGAAGTGAAGTGAAGTGCTAGTAATAGTTAAGAGAGTTAATTACTCGTAATGATGATGATTAATAAGTGCCAATCTGACAAGTTCGCGACGATTGTTCCTTTCCTTTGGTGGGCGGAATAAAGATTGGGCGATTGGTCCGAGCCGCTGAACCTAAAATTCCCAAAATTTATCGATACAGCTCGGAGAACATTTCTGAGCTTTAAAGACTGAATCAACCCCCCTCCTCCATATCATAGACCACCATAGGCAGCTGCTTTATCTGTCCTCCCGACATTTTCTTTAATATCGCACAAATTTCTGCAACATGGTTCAAACTTCCACAATTGTCGCTGCCAGTGTTGGCACAGTTGCTACAGGGTTGGTCGGTAGGTGAATCCTATGTCCAAGTAGAATTCCTAATTCTGCTAACACATTTCATCACAGCCTACGCAATTTATTTCGATCATAAAAGACGTACCGATCCAAACTTTCGCAAACAATTGAAGAAGGAATCGAAACGACAAGCAAAGGTTGTGCAGGAGGAAGCGGAAGCTTACAGTGAGAGACAAAAAGAAGTTATCAAGGCAGTGGTTCTAGAAGCCAAGGATGATGGGTTCCCGGTGGACGTAGAGGAAAAAGAGGCATATTTCATGTCAGAAGTTGCTAGAGGAGAAAACTTAAGCTCAGATGGTGAGTTATATCCCCGAAGAAACTTCCAATCAACACCAGGAGGTCCAGCAACTGATACTCGATCATAGGTGGCGACCCGATAGAAGCAGCACTTTGTTTCTACAAGGCACTCAAAGTTTACCCTCAACCAAACGACTTGATCTCCATTTATGATAAGACAGTGCCAAAGGTAGCTCTTCCAATTCCTATTTCGTTGACAAAGAATCTAACAAACTTCTAGCCTGTCCTCGATATTCTTGCAGAAATGATTGCAGCAGATGCAGCCTTAGATGTTGGACCTTTTGGTGGCGGCTCTGGATCTGATAGTGGTATACCCGGTGTTGGTCTTGATTAGTCTGGTTGTCTCAATATACTTGTATTCTGATCCCCTCCACTCTTCCCCATCACCTGAACTTCTTATCGACTCTCACGAACGGCAACTGGATAATTCCAAAAACTCAGGGTGGACTGTGTAATAGTCCAATGTATATCAATCATCATGCTTGGCGTCCGTAGGTTCTTGCATTACGCATTACGTCTAATTTGTACATAGTATCCATACTTTCAATATGCGCTGGTTGTTATTTGCAGAGCTGTACAGTATGTAATGCAGATCAGGTCAGCCAGATTCATTGTTGTACCCTGGCGTCGTGCAGGTCGCTTGTTTTACACCCCCCGCATTCACAATCGGTGCTGTTTGTCGTGAGAAGTGTGAAAATCGCGAGCATACCATTGCCCTAAGGGAATCGTCATGAAACAATACTAAAACTAACTCTTGGGGTCTTTTCAGAAGTTCGGAAGCTTCAAGCCTGTAAGTAGGTAGGTAAGATTACACCACATGGTATCCGACCTTCAGTGCCAAACCAAAGCACATCATTCCGCTCGCTATATTAATGTGATATAAATTCTGTACAAATCTTCGTCATCCCGGTTCAAAATAGGAATAAGGTTTCTAAAAAATCTGTTTATTAGGATAAAAGGACAAATTTCGGTACCTGTCTAGAAGCGGGAATAAGTAAAAGGAGAGAGGTCAGAGATTAACTGCATGACGCTAGCGTACTAGCGAGCGGGATGATTTTAGTGACAGGGGTAAAATCGCGGTCGCGACAACACCTTAATTAATGTAACCAAATACAGCCATCAACATTTTTGGTCCTACCATTCACTCCCCTTACCACAGGATTTTACAAAACCTCCAATATAACAGTAATTCACTTTCCTACCGAATGAAAAAGACCTGCTACTTTAATACAATCACTTTACGACTTAAGCAATTAAGAACACATCGGGATGAACACAACCCATTAAATCACTCACTACCTTACCAACCATGAGCTTGCTCGACTCCTCAAGTCCCTCCGGAAATGGAGCAAACGGAGTTGGAACGAGCGCATTCCCGTCGATAGAACCAAAGATACTTGTTGAGTTTTTTGCTTCCGTTCTCGAAATCACTTTAGGAGCAACCAGGAATGACCTTCAACATGCCGACAGTCTCCTTTCCGAAGCCAGATACTCTGATACGGCTCTACGATGCACCAGATTTGCATCAGAGTCTCAAACAGCTGTGATATATGTACAGAAAGATTTAGTTCCACAGGAGCAAGTGGATTCCCTAGATGAATCAGGTAAGGACTCCGCTCGGCTTTGGTGAAAGTTTGTTGACGTGAACGCAGGCTCGATTTTGTACAACTATAGTTTGGCTTCCGATATATCCTCCTCTCCTTCAACAACCGCATCCGTTGCATTTATAAAAGGATCGCAGCCTATAGACCCTTCGATACCCATTTCTTCCCAAATACAGCTTATTAATTTACCTGGCGCAGCATCACCGAACGATACCACGAATGGCCAGGCGGGAGCTTCTGTTTTGCATTCATTTGTACATCTAGCGCTGGCGCCATATTTTGATGCATATACCAAAACACATCAGGCGGGGAGCGGGGGTCGAGGTAGATTGGAAATTGAGGCCAAAACCGGAGTTTCTGCTACGAAAAAGAAGCTAGCAGAGCTGGCATTGGCTTTGCAACATCTTCAGGAGAATATCGATATCCCAGATTTGACACTCCCACTTCACCCCATGGTGCAGCATGCACTTGACGAAGCAGCTGCTCGTAAAGGCAAGGCAACTGTAGATGCCATCCCAGAGAGACTGATGCAAGACAGTGCTTTCCTTAACAGCCTGCAATCTCTAGTAAATGGGTGGATCAAGTCTATACAAGCTATCACAAAGATGTCGCGAGATCCTACGAGCGGAACGGCATCACAGGAAATTCAGTTCTGGATCCATATGGAGTCCACACTCGAGAATATCGGCGCACAATTATGCAGTGATGGCGTAATGCTTACCCTGGAGATACTAAGACATGCCAAACGTTTTCAGGCCACTCTCAGTTTCACATCCGATACTGGCCTGAAAGAGTCGACTGATAAGGTACAAAAGTACAACCAACTCATGCGGGATTTCCCTCTTGATGAGTTACTTTCGGCAACATCGTTACAGAAGGTTGGGGATGCTCTGGGTCTCATTTTTGGGCACTTGAACAAAAAGCTACGCATTTGTCCATATCCAGTTCGACGTGCCTTGCCACTAGTGGAATCAATTTCTGCAGATCTTGACACTCGCCTCCACTCTTTACTTCACGGCCGCTCCTTGATGCATTTGGAGTATCGTGATTTCAGAAAGTTGATGTCTGTCGCTGATTCAATCTGGGCCATCTGGGATGATAACTTAAAGGAGTTCACTAATGTTGCTCGAGAAGTAACACGTCGAAGAAACGAGAAGTTCATGCCTATTAAAATCATTGGCAAGCATGCGGAGCTTCAAGCACGTCTAAAGTATGTGAGCACCTTCAGAGATAACCACGAGCAATTGCAGCGAACAATAGTCAACGTTTTGGCACCCAAAGCCGGCGAAGATGTACCAGACGGTGCAGCCAATGGTATAGTATTAGTCGAGGAGGTGGGCGACGTTGATGCTGTCGAGGAAATTAAGCAAGCCTGGGCTGCATTGAACAATGTAGACATGCTCGATGTCTCTCTGGAAGGTACACAGTTATGGATTGAGGCCGAGGGTACATATAATGAGCGAACATCGCGTGTTGAGAACTCCATCATTGCCCGATTACGAGATCGATTAGCCACTGCCAAGACAGCAAGTGAAATGTTTCGTGTCTTTTCCAAGTTTAATGCTCTGTTTGTTCGACCAAAGATCCGTGGAGCTATTACTGAATATCAAACACAACTTATTGACAACGTCAAACATGATATATCCTCCTTGCATGAGCGGTTTAAGCAGCAGTATGGCCACTCCGAAGCTCACGCTATGGCGCAGCTGAGAGACTTACCTCCGGTTTCGGGGGCGATCATTTGGGCTCGTCAAATTGAGAAACAACTCAACGGATACATGAAAAAAGTCGAGGACGTACTTGGTACCGATTGGGCACTTCATGCTGAAGGACAAAAGCTTCTCAGTGATAGTAATCTTTTCCGGAACAAGTTGGACACTCGGCCCATTTTTGAAGCCTGGCTCCATGATGTGCAGCGGAAGCACGTTACCATCTCTGGCAGGCTTTTCAACATAAACAAGATCCGTGCAGCAAACAATGCTTTAGAGTTAGCCGTCAATTTCGACCATCAGGTTATCGCACTGTTTAAAGAAACACGGAACTTACTGTGGTTGAACTACCCTGTTCCTCATCAGATCAACAATATATCAAAGGACGCAAAGCGTGTATATCCTTACGCCGTCAGTCTAATGGAAACTGTTCGGACGTTCACACAAACCAGCCGGCAAATAGCTGAAATGGCTGATGTTCAAATACTTCTAAGCGGATATCAGAACGAAGTTCAAGCCTTGATTGCTCGTGGTGTTTCTTTGAAATGGGAGTCATTCGTGCACTCATACGATATCCATATTAAACCCACGTACACGAAGGGCTCAATTGAACCTGCTATTGCCAATCGGACTGAGAGTAAGCATGTGCAGTTCGTACGTGAAATTGCTGCATCAGTCGCCTTATTGCAAAGCAAGACGGAGACACTCGCTTCTATAAATGCGACAATCCAAAAGACCTTAGCAGAGCTAGATAAGTGTCCATATGAGATAGCTGCATTCCAGGCCCGTTTGGAAACGATCCAGATGGCAGTTGATCAATTAAACCTCGAGAATTATGTCAACTTGCCCTACTGGGTCAGAGAAATGAACGATCGTATCAAGGTCACTCTTCTGAGGCGTCTACAACAGGCAATAGAAGTGTGGATTGATGTTTTTGAAAATGAACGATCTGATGGCGTTAATGATGATAGTCGCAGAAAACACTTCAGTATATTGACAGAGTCTCCGCCTGAGAACAAACCTTCTATGAAACGCCTAGTTCATGAGATATCCATGCGAAATCAAGTCATCTATTTGGATCCGCCTTTAGAATATGCCAGAGCCAGCTGGTTTTCTCAATTACATGAGTGGCTTGGAGTCGTATGCCATCTTCGCAAGATCAAAGCTTCTCGATATGTCATGACCCTAGGAACTACTAACGACCCGGAAGAGCTGTTTACCGACCTCCCACGAGACTGCGCGGATGAACTTCTTAGAGCGTACACTTGCGTTGAAGCAAAACTGCACGATATTAGCCTCTACGTTGACAAATGGCTACAATTCCAATCACTATGGGATCTGCAGTCCGATCTCGTGTATGAAACCTTGGGTGAACAACTATCAAAGTGGCTCCAGCTTTTGCAAGAGATCAGAAAGACTCGCTCTACTTTCGACACAACTGAAGTGAGTCGATCGTTTGGACACCTGACCATTGACTACGACCAAGTCCAAACAAAGGTCAATGCCAAGTATGACCAGTGGCAACATGAAATCCTGATCAAATTTGGGAGTCGTCTTGGAAATCGTGTTCGTGAAGTTTATGCTGAGTTTGAAAAAGCAAGACGTGATCTTGAAGTGCAGTCCTTGGAAGCATCTACGGCGCAAGCTGTTCAATTCATCACCATCGTGCAGACTTGCAAGCGGAAGGTAAAAGCATGGGGCCCAGAGGTCGAAACTTTCAGGCAAGGACAAACGACACTTGTTCGACAAAGATATCAATTTCCTGTGGACTGGTTGGGAGTTGAGCAAATTGACTCGGAATGGACTTCACTTAATGAAATCCTAGCTCGGAAGGCTAAAATTGTGGAGGACCAGACTGACGCGTTACGTGCCAAGATCACTGCAGAAGACCGGGTTGTGGGAGATAAGATCGCAGAGATCACTAGCCAGTGGAACGAAGAAAAACCTGTTTCTGGTACTATTGCCCCAGATGTGGCGTCCGCAACTCTCACATCTTTCGAAAGCCGCATTACAAAGTTGCACGAGGAGTCGGAGATGGTTGGTCGTGCAAAAGAGGCTTTAGACCTTCCAGCAACTGCAGATACAGCGCTTGTGGCTATTCTTGAAGAAGTTCAAGACTTCAAGTCTGTGTGGGCTGCTTTGTCCACGATATGGAAAAGCCTCAACGACCTCCGCGATATGCTATGGACTAGCGTTCAACCCCGGAAATTACGCTCTGCGATTGATGGCCTCATCAAGATGACCAAAGAAATGCCTAGTCGAATGAGACAATATGCTGCATTTGAGCACATCCAAAATGTCCTCAGACAGTTCTTGAAAGTTAATCCCGTGGTCACAGATCTGAAGTCTGAGGCTGTAAGAGACCGTCATTGGAACAAGATCTTCAAGAATTTGAAGCCCGGAAAGCGCTATTCTCCTATATCTATGACACTTGGAGATGTGTGGGATCTCAATCTTTTCTCCACCGAGAAGATTATTCGGGATATCATTGCACAAGCCCAAGGTGAAATGGCTTTGGAGGAGTTTTTGAAGCAGGTTCGCGAGGATTGGTCCAACTACTCACTTGATCTTGTGAACTACCAGAACAAGTGCCGCCTTATTCGTGGTTGGGATGATTTGTTCGCAAAATGCAGCGAAAATCTGAACTCTCTACAGGCAATGAAGAACTCACCTTATTACAAGGAATTTGAGGAAGAAGCTGCGTCGTGGGAAGATAAACTCAATCGCGTACACGTACTTTTCGACGTCTGGATTGATGTCCAGCGCCAATGGGTTTACCTCGAAGGCGTTTTCACTGGGAATGCAGATATCAAGCATCTCCTACCAATCGAGTCATCAAGATTTCAAAACATCAACTCCGAATTCTTCGCAGTAATGAAAAAGGTCTATAAACAGCCGTTTGTGTTGGATGTGCTCAACATATCAGGTGTTCAAAAATCATTAGAACGTCTCGCCGAGCTTCTTAACAAGATCCAGAAAGCTCTTGGTGAGTACCTTGAGAGAGAGCGTGTGTCGTTTCCAAGATTTTATTTCGTCGGTGATGAGGATCTCCTTGAAATCATCGGTAATAGCAACGATACACTGCGCATCGCCAAACACTTCAAGAAAATGTTTGCCGGCTTATCTGGTCTAATTATGGATGAAGAACATGTTATTTCAGGATTTACTTCAAAAGAGGGTGAAGAGGTTCGACTCAAGAAGGAGATCTCTTTAATCAAGACTCCAAAAATTAATGATTGGTTAACACTGCTTGAAAACAGCATGAAGTCAACTCTCGCCGAACTGCTTGCTGATGCTGTCGAGCAATACGAAGCAATATTCACTGCTGATGATGTGGACCAAGAAGCTCTAAACCAATACATTTCTGCGTTTCCAAGTCAGATAGTTGTATTGGGTACACAAGCTGTTTGGACTTCATGTGTAGAGAAGGCTCTTGAAAATGAAGGCGCTGACCTACAAAAGTTGTTCGAGCAGGAAGTCAAAGTACTTCGCCTCCTTGCATCTACTGTTCTAGGCGATCTCGACCCAATTCAGAGAAAACGATGCGAACATCTCATCACTGAGTGTGTCCACCAACGAGACGTCATTGAAAAGTTACGTAACCTCAATGCAAGCACACCTAATCATTACATGTGGCTTCTGCAAATGAGATATGTCTACAAACCAGAGGGCGACTTTCTGCAACGTCTTTACATCAAAATGGCGAACGCGAAGCTCAACTATGGTTTTGAATATCTGGGTGTAGCAGAGCGTCTTGTTCGAACTCCATTGACGGATCGATGTTTTTTGACGCTTACGCAAGCTCTTTGCCAACGCCTTGGTGGCTCACCTTATGGTCCAGCAGGTACAGGTAAGACCGAGTCCGTGAAAGCTCTGGGTGTTCAGTTAGGTCGTTTTACACTAGTGTTCTGTTGCGACGACACTTTCGACTTCCAGGCCATGGGCCGCATCTTCCTTGGTCTTTGCCAGGTTGGTGCTTGGGGTTGTTTTGATGAATTTAATCGACTTGAGGAGCGTATCTTATCTGCTGTTTCCCAACAAGTTCAGAATATCCAACTCGGTTTGAAACAAGGCGTGGAGGACGAGAAGGCTCAAATTGAATTGGTTGGTAGACAATTGCATGTGGACGCCAACACTGGACTTTTTATCACGATGAATCCAGGTTATGCTGGTAGATCAAACTTGCCAGACAATTTGAAGAAATTGTTCCGAAGTGTTGCCATGTCCAAGCCCGACAAAGAGCTTATCGCTGAAGTCATGTTGTACTCACAAGGATTCAATCAAGCTAAACAGCTTGCCAAGCAGACTGTACCGTTTTTTGATAGCTGTGCTGCGCGACTCTCCAAGCAAGCTCACTATGACTTTGGTCTGCGTGCCTTAAAGAGTGTGCTTGTCAGCTCTGGTGGGCTCAAACGTGCTCGTTTAACCAATTCCGACGGCAACCTCGGACCAGAGGAGGAGGTGGAACCACAAATTATTGTCCAGAGTCTTCGCGAGACAATTGCCCCCAAATTAATCAAGAGCGACGTAGAGATCATGAGAGCCATCGAAGAAGAGTCATTCCCCGGCGTTGAATACGTTCCCGCTAGCTTGAACGACCTTCAGAATGCTGTCAAGAACCTCGCAAAGGAAAAGAACTTGGTAGTCAACGATACCTGGATGACCAAAATCCTTCAGCTTTACCAGATTCAAGGTATTCATCATGGTGTGATGATGGTCGGAAATTCTGGTTCTGGAAAATCGGTGGCTTGGAAGATCCTTCTACAAGCTCTACAGCAGGTTGAGGGCGTCGAAGGTGTATGCCATATTATAGATTCGAAAGTCATGTCAAAAGAAGCACTCTACGGTAATCTCGACTCAACTACTCGTGAATGGACCGATGGTCTATTTACAAGCATTCTCCGAAAGATCGTGGATAATTTACGTGGCGAGGAGTCAAAGAGACATTGGATTGTGTTTGATGGTGATGTAGATCCCGAATGGGTCGAGAACTTGAACAGTGTTCTGGATGATAACAAACTCCTCACCTTACCAAATGGTGAACGTCTCAATCTTCCTGGAAACGTGAGGATCATGTTCGAAGTTGAAACTTTGAAGTACGCTACGCTGGCAACTGTGAGTCGTTGTGGTATGGTCTGGTTTAGTGAGGATACTGTCACTCCCAACATGATGGTTACCAACTATTTGGAAAGTTTGAGGTCCACTGCGTTCGAAGATCTAGATGAGGATGCCGTTGCAACAGGACAAAGTGCTGCCCAAGCGTTGGAGATTCAATCTCATGTGGCGGACCTTCTTCAAACTTTCCTTACCACAGAAGATTTCATCATTAGCGCCTTAGAGCGTGCCGAAGGATTCAATCACATTATGGACTACACTATCGCTCGTGTATTAAATACGCTTTTCTCGCTCCTGAACAAGGCCGTACGAGACATCATCGAGTATAATTCTCAACATGTTGACTTCCCACTTGACCCAGATCAAGTCGAGTCCTTCATCGCCAAAAAGCTCCTCCTCGCGCTTGTTTGGTCGTTGACTGGTGATTGTCCATTGGGAGATCGTAAGAGCTTCGGAGATTGTCTCGCTGGACTGGCCACCTTTGGAAACCCCATATTGGGCGATAATTCTTCTCTCATCGATTTTGATGTGACCCTACCCCAAGCTGAGTGGTCTTCATGGCAAAACCAAGTACCCAGTATTGAAGTTAACACGCACTCCATCACGCAAACTGATGTGGTTATTCCTACGCTCGACACTGTGCGTCACGAAGACGTACTGTACTCCTGGCTGGCAGAGCACAAGCCCTTACTACTGTGCGGTCCTCCTGGTTCCGGAAAGACGATGACTCTCTTTAGTGCTCTACGCAAACTTCCTAACATGGAAGTAGTTGGTCTGAATTTCTCTAGTGCGACCACACCAGATCTACTGATTAAGACATTTGAGCAATATTGTGAGTATAAGAAAACTGTAAACGGTGTCATGCTCTCGCCCACTCAAATTGGCCGTTGGCTTGTGCTTTTCTGTGACGAAATCAATTTGCCAGCCCCAGATAAGTATGGTACACAGAGAGCCATTTCCTTCTTGCGTCAGCTAGTGGAGCAAAACGGATTCTGGCGCACGTCCGATAAGAGCTGGGTTACGCTTGATCGCATTCAATTTGTGGGTGCCTGCAACCCTCCAACGGATGCTGGTCGAACACCTATGGGAGCCCGATTCTTACGGCACGCTCCACTCATCATGGTTGATTATCCAGGAGAGCTATCTCTCCAACAGATTTACGGCACTTTCAATAACGCTATTCTCAAGATTATTCCCGCCTTGAGAGGCTACTCTGAAGCATTGACGAAAGCTATGGTCAGATTTTACACTGAATCGCAGCAACGCTTCACTCCTAAAATTCAACCCCATTACGTTTACAGTCCTCGTGAGCTTACCCGATGGGTTCGTGGTATCTATGAAGCCATTCGACCACTCGAGACACTCAGTATTGAAGGTCTGGTAAGGATCTGGGCTCATGAAGCTCTGAGATTATTTCAAGATCGTCTCGTGGCTGAAGATGAGCGTAAATGGACTGATGATGCCGTGCACCGCATTGCAACCGACTTTTTTCCTACCATCGATGAAGACAAAGCTCTTGGCGGACCAATTCTTTTCTCCAACTGGCTCTCCAAGAACTATGTTCCAGTCGACAGGGAGCAATTGAGAGATTTCGTCAAGGCTCGTTTGAAGACTTTCTGTGAAGAAGAAGTCGACGTTCCACTTATTCTATTCAATGATGTTCTAGAGCACGTGCTACGTATCGATCGCGTATTCAGACAACCGCAAGGTCATCTGATACTTATTGGAGTCAGTGGAAGTGGTAAAACAACGTTGTCTCGATTTGTTGCCTGGATGAATGGTCTCAGAGTATTCCAAATCAAGGTTCATGGTAAATATTCTGCTGAGGACTTTGATGACGATCTACGTGATGTCCTACGCCGATGTGGCTGTAAGGGGGAGAAGGTTTGTTTCATTATGGACGAATCAAATGTTCTCGACTCTGGATTCTTGGAGAGAATGAACACTCTCTTGGCGAATGCCGAAGTCCCTGGTCTCTTCGAAGGTGACGAATTTGCATCATTAATGACAGCCTGCAAAGAAGGTGCTCAACGTCAAGGACTCCTGTTGGATTCACAGGAAGAACTCTACAAATGGTTCACTGGACAAATTGTGAAGAATCTGCATGTCGTCTTCACCATGAACCCTCCTGAAGATGGCTTGTCTTCCAAGGCTGCAACTAGTCCTGCGCTTTTCAACCGTTGCGTACTGAATTGGTTCGGAGATTGGTCTGATCAAGCATTGTTCCAAGTAGGCACGGAGTTAACTCAATCTGTTGACCTTGATCGACCAAACTTCACTGCACCTGACAGCATCCCTGTGGCATATCGAGACCTCAGCCTGCCAGCAAACCATAGGGAGACGATAATCAATTCAATGGTATACATTCATTACTCACTACAACGCTTCAACGTCAAATTGTTGAAGCAGCAAGGCAAAATAACATTCCTCACACCTAGACACTTCTTGGACTTCGTGGCCCAATACGTCAAGCTGTACACGGAGAAACGAGACGATCTCGAGGAACAGCAAAGACATTTGAACGTCGGCTTAGAAAAGCTTAGAGATACCGTCGACAAAGTACGTGATCTTAGGGTCAGCTTGGCAGATAAGAAAGGTCAATTGGAGCGTAAGGATGCAGAAGCCAACGAAAAGCTGCAGCGCATGGTAGCAGATCAAAGGGAGGCCGAACAACGCAAAACCACTTCACTCGAAATTCAAGCTGCTCTTGAAATACAGGAGAAAGTAGTCGCAGAACGTCGCGAGATTGTACTCAGCGATTTGGCCAACGCCGAGCCCGCTGTTATCGAGGCCCAAAAGAGTGTCAGTAACATCAAGCGACAACATTTGACTGAAGTTCGTTCTATGGGTAATCCCCCTCAGGGTGTCAAACTTGCTCTAGACTCAGTCTGTACGCTCCTTGGTCATAAGATTGAAAGCTGGAAGACAGTACAGGGTATTATTAGGAAAGATGATTTTATTGCAAGTATTGTTAATTATGACAATGAGAGGCAGATGACAAAGAATCTTCGTATAAAGATGCGCAACGAGTTCCTTTCAAACGATGACTTTACTTATGAAAAGGTCAATCGTGCCAGTAAAGCTTGCGGACCGCTTGTTCAATGGGTTCAGGCTCAAGTCAACTACTCTGAGATTCTCGACCGCGTAGGGCCGTTGAGAGAAGAGGTTGGGCTGCTCGAGGAGCAAGCTCTACAAACTAAAGCCGAGGCCCAAGCCGTGGAGAACACCATCAATACATTGGAACAAAGTATTGCAACTTACAAGACAGAATACGCAGCTCTCATCAGTGAGACACAGGCTATCAAGTCTGAAATGTCAAAGGTTCAATTTAAGGTCGATCGTAGTGTTCGACTTCTCGACAGTCTATCCTCTGAAAGAACACGTTGGGAAGAAGGAAGCAAATCGTTCGAGACACAAATTAGCACACTAGTGGGTGATGTCCTTGTTGCGGCCGCTTTCCTTGCATACAGTGGTCTCTATGATCAACAATACCGAAAGAATATGATGGAAGATTGGCTACATCAACTCCATTTGTCCGGAGTCAATTATAAGCAACATAATCCAGTCACGGAATATCTCTCAAGTGCCGATGAGCGACTGGGATGGCAACAAGATACTCTGCCAGTGGACGATCTTTGCACCGAAAACGCAATCATATTGAAACGATTCAACAGATACCCATTGATTATTGATCCTTCTGGTCGCGCGACGGAATTCTTACAAAAGCAGAGCAAGGAAAGAAAGCTTACAGTCACGAGTTTCTTGGATGATTCCTTCACCAAGCAACTAGAAAGTTCTCTTCGTTTCGGAAATCCAATTCTTATCCAAGACGCCGAATACCTGGACCCGATCCTTAACCACGTTCTCAACAAAGAGTATCAAAAGACTGGTGGCCGTGTTCTCATCCAGCTCGGTAAACAGGAAATTGACTTTTCACCCGCATTCAAGATATACCTTTCCACTAGAGATCCATCTGCAACATTCGCACCGGACATTTGCAGTCGCACAACATTTGTCAACTTCACAGTCACGCAGAGCAGTTTGCAAACACAGTCACTTAATGACGTTCTCAAATCTGAGCGACCTGACGTGGACGAGAGGCGTTCAAACCTCATCAAACTACAGGGCGAATTCAAGGTACATCTTAGACAGCTCGAGAAACGCTTGTTACAAGCTTTGAATGAATCACGTGGTAACATTCTTGATGATGACAACGTCATTGAAACTCTAGAGACTTTAAAGAAAGAAGCTGCAGAGATCTCGGTGAAGATGGGTAACACTGAAGGTGTAATGGCCGAGGTGGACGAAATTACCTTACAGTACAACATCATCGCACGCTCTTGCAGTGCCATTTTCGCCGTTCTTGAACAATTACACTATCTTAACCATTTCTATCAATTCTCTCTACAATACTTCCTCGACATATTCCATTCTGTGCTGAAGGGCAATAAGCGACTAGAGTCAGAGACAAACCACGATAGACGCCGCGATATTATCGTTGAAGATTTGTTCGTCACCGCCTACCAACGTACATCCCTTGGATTGCTACAGAAAGATAAGATAACTTTAGCAATGCTTCTCGCTCAAGCAGCTCCATATAAGATGGACAAGAGCCTTATTGATGTTATTCTGGATGAAAGTGTGGTGGGCACCGATCTATCTACGGATGGTGATAAGAAGGATGAAGTCATGAGCAATGCGGTCAAACTTGTCGCATTCACGGGCAAACTTGAGGGCGTTTCCTCTGAATCTTGGGATCGCTTCTTATCCGAAGAGTTGGCAGAGAACTTTGTTCCTGAAGTCTGGGATAATACTGTTGAGAAGAGAGACCGAGAGCTTATTTCCTTGCTGCTTATCAAACTTTTCCGTCTAGATCGATTTGTTCCTGCCGCTGAACGATTTGTCACTGCAGTATTTGGCTCGAGTCTTCTCGATGTCACTGAAGACCTAAAGCAAATTGTTGAACAAGTATCTGCAAGCCGCCCTGTAGCGCTCTGCTCGAGCCCTGGTTTCGATGCAAGTTATAAAGTCGAGAACCTCGTGGAACAATCACGAGCCGCATGTACCAATATTGCTATGGGTTCGAATGAAGGATTGGCGACTGCGGATAAGGCGATTAGTAATGCAGCTGCCACCGGGTCCTGGGTCCTTGTCAAGAACGTTCATTTGGCACCGACCTGGCTACAAAGTCTGGAAAAACGTATGGATTCGCTCAAACCTCATGCAAACTTTAGATTGTTTTTGTCAATGGAATCTAGTCCTAAGATTCCTGTCAATTTGTTGCGAGCATCCAGAGTGTTGATGTACGAGCAACCAGCTGGTGTGAGAGCCAACATGAAGGATTCCATGGCATCGCTCTCTACCAGAGGTACCAAGACTCCTGTAGAGAGAACTAGATTGTATCTTCTCTTATCTTTCTTGCATGCTGTTGTACAAGAACGTTTACGATACGCTCCCACCCTTGGATGGAAGGGTTTCTGGGAGTTCAATGATAGTGATGTAAGTGTTACGACTGCCCCATTTTGTTATGAATATACTAATTTATCTTAGTATGAATGCTCTGCGTACATCATTGACACTTGGGTGGAAACGGTAGCTGCGGGACGGTCGAACGTAGCTCCACAAAACCTCCCTTGGGATATGCTTCGTACACTGATCGTTGAGACATACGGTGGTAAAATTGACGACGAAGAAGATTTCGCCCGTCTTACACAACTCGTTCACTCCTTCATGACTCCAGCCGCCTACGACATCGGTCATAAATTGGTCGAAGGTATTGCAGGTGATGAGTCCGAAACTGGAAGCTTGGTCGTGCCAAGCGGAACAACAATGAAGGATTTCACGGACTGGGTTAAGAAGTTGCCCGAGCGTGAACCACCTACCTACTTGGGTCTACCAGCTAATGCGGAGAAATTGTTGTTGGTGGGACAGGGTCGTAGCATGATACAAAATCTAGGCAAGATTACTGAAATATTGGATGAGGGTGAACAGATCATGGCGGAAGCTGCTTGATGGATATCAAGTTTGATTTGAAGGAATGAAGGGCATTGAGTTTTATTTGGTGTAGGATGGTGAAGGGCGAGGTGAGATGAGAGATTAAAGGGCTTTGTGTATGGACTTTCCGTTCATGGACTGTATTTTATAATAGAGTATCTTATGACGATCGTTTGCGGATTGAAAAGCTTGCAGGATGAAAGACCGAAGAATACATGGGTAGTGCAGCGCTTTTGTGGTTATACACTTCACCTTATACCCCTATCATGTATGCGTAATTTGCAAAATAATTTGTAGTGTAGAGTAAATTTAATGCGTGGCATTTGGCATGATGGTCGTTGCGGGTATGGCATAGCGAAAAGTCTACTCATAAGTTGACTAATAGATTTCAAATTTTATTCATATCTGTTGACTTTTTAGATTGAGAACCTTTTCAATCATTCCAACATTCTTTCAAATCCCTATCTACTCTAGTAAACCAACTTGAATGATTCCAATATCTATTCAGTACGTCAACTTAAATGAATTCAATATTCTGTTCTTCGGTAAGTTGGTTTGAATGGTTTCAATAATACAATTGGGATGTCCCATTGACTAATCGCTCGTATTGACCAATGGGGCAGACCATATCCGTTTATATCATTAAACGATTAAGGGTTAGCGAAGACGAGGGTGAGACGGTGAGATGAGATGAGATTATAGGATATGAGGTATGTAGAATTTATAATGGGGAGAGAACTTGGGGAAAAGAGAAGGGTTCTGGGGAGAGATGGGGGGCCGAAGGAAGGGAGGGGGGGAGGAGGCAATTTTCGGAATGATTACCAGGGAGGATTATGTTAGCTTCAAAATCTGGGATCTTGATACGCTTTTTGAAATCGTCGCTTGCAAATATTTGGTGTCCGATTTCCTTGTATGATATGAGGGTTTCCCTCATCCTATATGATGAATGATTGCTTGTATGGAGTGACCGTAGGGCCCCCCATATTGCATAGTCTCGATCATGTCATGGTTTTATACTTAGCTCCTTGATTCTATATATTCAGAACCCCGTTTCCTCCTTTAAGCTTTTCCTTATGATTTTTCCACAAAATCTATCGATTGAGGAAAGTTGCAGGAAGCAGACAAGATTCACATGAAACTGCCAGCAAGAGGCACCTTCAACAAATCTTCCAATGCCCCTTCTAATTCCTCGTCTTCCTCACGTTTTACATCCACTCCCTGCACCTCAATCCCAAACGGTATAGCATCGGGTTCGCATACCGTTCCGTTTGATGGCAGGATTCCGGTTTGGAAATATGCAAGACGATGCTTGGCGATGCATTTTGAGGGGCAGGATGTGGAGGTGTGCTGGATGCTTTGATTAGTATTGGAGGGGGTAGCACTTGAATTTTATAAAGAATAGACTTACACCATATGAATCTTGAATGAGAACAGAGGAGCCGGAGAAAAGGTTTGAGTTATGTATTGCGCTTCCTAGAGGTGTGGTATTGTCTGCTGAATTGCAGATGAAGAGGATAGGATGGCTGGTATTTCTCTCGAATGGTCCTATGGATGAGCTCGGTTAGCATATTTGATCAGGAGAACCATGGTCTTGTGTCAATGGGTGTAATCACCGACAAAGTTCCACTTAGTCCGCGACGTCCACCCGGCACACATCAAACGAACGTTGAACATCACCGACGCCGACAATGGGCTTTTCCTCCTCAATTCCTCCTCGAAATTTTCCGTAACCTCTAAACTATCACGATCGTCATCGGGGATGCCTTCTCCACATTTCACATATGTCGCCGCGTCGCCATTCCCAACTGCTTCCAATGGCCAACCGGATTTCTTTTCGCAGGCAAGGGAGTCACATCCACAGCTGAAACTGGGTTGTATATATCCACGCGCTACTGCCATTCTCAAAAACGGTACTCCATCATCGGATTCGAGTGCAGCTAAAGCTTCGGCCAATTGAGGAAAGAAGAGTAAAGGTTGAGAGAGCGAGTATATTACTGCATTCTTCACCTCTGAATAAGTAATGACTTTTGGTCGTGTGAATCCCAAAGACTGTAATTCCAGTGTGTTATTCATGGTAGGAAATACTTGTAATGGGTATTTTTGAAGTTTGGTATAGATGTCTTCGAGCTTTCCCTGGATAGCTGCTGGCGTTGAAGCATAAAATGCACAGGCTTTGGGACCGGCCTTGTGACATAAGTCTAAGAACGCTAGCATGACTTTGTCAGTATCGTCAGTATAGTGAATTCCAGTTCCATTGTACCACTCGGAGTAATTGACGTTTCCTGAAGATTGTTTAGCAACCCTTTTGTTATCACCCGAAGCAGCAAGACTGACCATCACTCACGAGCCGCTCAATCTTATCTGGATACATCGCCGCAAAGGTGCCTCCTAGTAGTGTGCCATAACTTAAACCCCAATATTTCAATTTTTCATATCCGAGCTTGTTAAGTATCTCTAACATATCCCTGGGTGTGAATCGACAAGTCCGAGTCTTTGAATTCCCCAGATTCTTTCCTCCTGTGGTTCATTCCAACAATGGGCAGATGGTGTGGTGGCGCCAACTTCATGGAGAGTCAACACAGTATCTCACAAGCTTGGTACTACAACTTACTTCCACGAGGGTCGAATCCAATAAGATCCTAATACCATCGTGAGCTGTATGCTTGATGTCACCGGGGGGGGGGGTTGCTCACGTGGTTAGCTCCAACAGTCACATGGATAGCCTTCCCACGATCTTTTACAGTGCCTACACCGGACCCACCCGGCCCTCCCGGATTGATGAAAAGAGGTCCCTTGTAATCCACTTTCGAGGTTGCATTTTTCCTCAAAACGGCCAAAACAACCTTTGATGGATTAGTCGGCTCCAGCCAGTCTAGCGGTACCTATACAAGTATGATTAGCCTATGGCAAAGGGTCGATAGACGTGGTAGTAATACCTCTAACCTTGCACAGTCAAACTCGTCAAAGCATTGATGCCAGACTAATTCAGGTGATGGTTTGATCTAATATTGGTTGTATTAGTTCCGTCTAATTGACAAATGCACGCCCAAATACTTACCGATTCCCAAGACCAACCTTCGATAGTAGGTGCATTATGTTCTTCGAAGATCTTCTCACCATATGGTATAAAACAATAAATCCAGATTGTCAAAAAACAAATTAACAGTAACAAATCAACCCATTTCTTCCGCAAGCCTTCTCCAGGCGGTCTCATCCGGGTCTTCTCACCATGCTGGAATTCTAGATGACACACACTACCCTCTCTTTCTCCAAGTAAATAATCGCACTCTCTCTGCTTTTCATCTCCAAGTATAGAATCATACTCTCCCTGTTTCATATTCACACTTCAACCAAAATGTACCGGTGAATCGATGGTATCTCTGGTTGTCGTGAGCTGGCTAATTAGGCAGCATGGAAAACAAACGACATCTATCATTAAGCGAGCAAACATGGGGGATATTAATCTAGGTTGCATGATTGGTTAGATCATGGATGTAGGTGGGATCGTCCTGCCATTACCATTGTTTCGGATCCGCTTCTTCCCCCCCCCCAGACGTCAGCATTGGTGATGAAGTTTCGTCTTGCTTTACTACTCAAAAGCTTCAAGAAAGGGTACCAGTACCGGTACCGGTACTTCAATTCCACTGTGAGAGCAATCTTCAAATAATTGCATTTTCGTGTATTTTGATTGATAGACGTTGCTCTTCTCACTATTAGACAGATTCACCAGTAGACGTTTTAGAAATACAAGTTGTACCAAAGCGGTTTAGCCGCGGTTTGTTATCGCATACTGTTAGCTTATCGGAGAAAGCTTCACTGCTTTGTTTTTTCTTCTAATATTGGTCAGTGCGACTTCGGCTTCCACTCAAGAAACTTTTATTGTACAGAGATACATTTTTTGTTTACTCGGATCCTGTCATCTTTCAAGTCTCTCCTAAGCAATCATTTGCTTAATACACATGATATAAAGTCCAATTGATACTTCTCTACTTCATATACACTCGTTTATATAGATATTGGTTGATTCTTTATGTTAATTTCTCTATGAAACCCGAAGAATCACAAGATATGGAGTCACCAAACTCCCCAATGAAAATTGATAATCCGACGACTGTGACTCGAAGTCCAGAGCTCGCAGAACCTATATCAGAACCTCGAGAATGGAATACAAAAAACCTGACGTATAGACTTGGTGTGGATTTTGTGTCTGGTTTTACGGCTGCAACTATGGTTGCGCCAATTATCACTATCATCGACAAGTAAGTCTCAACCCTCAACCTCTTGCGCCAAATGCTAATTTTATAATAGAGGTATCATGCAAAATGCCTCCGGACAAGCAACACTCAGAGACTCACTACGATCGTCCCTCAAGAGCTTCCTTCTCCAACCTCATAACCTGCTCTTCTCGAAACCTTTCGCCCTGATATGTATGTTATACGGAGGCACATACCTGACAGCCAACACCCTCGATACTGTTACATCCACCGTACATAACAAGCCCGCATCTACAGTCACATCTGGAACATCGAAATTCGTTGCAAGCTCGACCGCAAACATCGGATTATGTCTCTTCAAAGATCAAACATTCGCCCGCTTGTTTGGTCCCTCCGGTCCACCAAGACCCGTACCTTTCCCCTCATATATACTCTTCACTGCTCGCGATTGTCTGACCATTTATGCTTCATTCAACATACCGCCTATGCTTGGCCCAGTCATCACCAAGAATCTATCAGAGGAATTACAAAAGTCGATAAGCGGACAAACAATTTCGCAATTTTTGGCGCCAGCTTCGGTACAGCTTATAAGTACGCCTATGCATTTGTTGGGCTTGGATTTATATAATAGAGGGAAAGGTGTTACTTGGGGAGATAGATGGGGTATTGTGAAGAAGAATTGGGGGGTTAGTGCTGCGGCTAGAATATGTAGGATTGTGCCTGCGTTTGGTGTAGGAGGGGTGGTGAATATGAAGGTCAGGAAGGGATTGATGAATCGCTTGGAGTAAACATCACAATATCTTTACGGCAAGATGGGGGTTGGGAGTGCGAAAGAAGCGCATTGGCGGAGGACGGACGTAACAACATAAATGTGGTTCGAACGTTCGGGCGGTGAAATTGGTCACGCATTGCAGACATATTGTGGATGGATATACAAGCTATCATGGAATCATGAACTAGTACGATTTGTTTGCAAGGCGTTAAGGTATATAGATGGAATACGTATCATACGTATATGACGGCGCGATTAGAGCGAATATGCGGCATTGATTCTAAGTCTCTCAAGAGAGCAAGTCAAATTCAGTATATAGTTTATGTACCAATACATAAAAGAGGCGGGCAACACGTCGTCATCTACAACAAATCCAACTCCACTCATCTCATTTCACGTTTTGTTCCTCTCATTGTTCATTCACCGACTTGGTTTCTTCACAAATGTGTATGAGGATTTCCCTGATATTCCGTTGAAATTTACTCGCTTTCTTTGATTTGAAGTATTGCCCAGGGAGATAAAAGTATCTCAATTCCCATACCAAGTATCATAGTATCATGGTTAGTATCTATCATATCTCAAACCTGGGGTATCTGGTGAACTTTCAAGTCTGTTATTGTTATGCCACCCCAGCTCTTCTCTCTTCATACCGGTGTGCGGTATGTATGGTATCTTTCAGTCGAGTGGCTGGCTGGCTGGGTCACCTCGTAGCTGAGTTGGTTACCTCGTAGCTATTGGCGAGATAGAATTGTGGGATTTTTTGTACTTTTGCTTTGGTGCGAGTGGGAGGTGAGGTGAGGTGAGGTGTAAGTAGTATCTTGGGATAGTGTTCTGGGTTTACGGTGGGTTGGTTTGCTTTGCTGTGGGGTTTGTGCTTGTGTTCGTTAATGTGATTGGGCGTGGTTGGGCGTGATTTATGAGGAGAAACTGGGCTGAGATATTCGGTACCTAGGTTATGGATGGGAGGATGGTGGGATTATGATGGTGCTAGGAGGATATGAGATCCAACATCGATATCGTCGGTCTTCATGGTACTTCAGAGAAATTAAAAGTATCTCCAACGTTCCGCGATCATCGCAGAGTTTGTGTCCAGATTTGAAACTCAGCATCAAGTTGCGCTTGCAGGACTCGGTGGAGTGTGGTTAGTACTTTCGAACTATTTAGACTTTTAAGGCATACCTTTACTATCAAGGTGTACTTGGCTCATCTTTTTGCACTGGAAATCTTGTATTACATATACGATCAGGACAATGATCAGAAGTAAACTACATATGGAGAATCACAGATCGCCATATAATCTGAATACTGCTATTTATTCAAAGATAAACACCCACAAGCTCATATCTTCTGTATATATGCTGAAACTACTTCTGGGTTTGAGCAAGGATACTAAGAGATAGCAAGAGGTCTGGAAATCCCCGGCTGGAAAGATCCAAAGGTAGATGCATTGAAACTTGTCTAGATAGGAGTATAGCGACTCTTACTGCAAAATATAACAAATATCCGTGTAAAGGCAGTTTGTAGATATGAATAGTAGTAAAAAATACCGAGACTCTTCGTTGATAACATCTTGAAAATTTGTGGTGTTACTAAAAAATACCGAGATGTGAATGGAATTATAGATCACAAATCTGAACGAAGAAAAAGTAAATAGATCGATCGATAGATATACACTTCTGACCATGACAGAGAACTTTGTTTTCGCGGTTACATTTAACTTGAATGAACAATGATGAAAATCGACACCATTGCAGATCCTTGTACAGATATGCAACATACATACATAGAGCTTTCACTCTGATCTAGAGATTTAAAGGCACTTGCAAGGTTGAAGGTTCGACGGACTAATATCCACTTGGTCACTTCGTCTATCTTTGAGGCTAGACAGCGAAAGACCGAAACACTAATTGGTCCAGGTAAAACTATCAATATCATGCTAAGGAATCCCTACCCTTGAAAAGATATGCAATAGAACTTCTCAATGTCTGTGTCTGATTGGTTGGAGCTTGTGAGGACTGATCTTGAAGCTGATATTAAAGTTCTTTTTAGCCCTTCTTGATGTATATAGAGTATTTTGGCTACTAGTATTATATTCTAATATTGACGGTTCTGATATTGAGAAAAGTGATTGTACACATTATGAGGAGATATCATTGGTATAAAACTGACTTCGTGATGATAAAGATATGAACATTTTACTCGAGTATTTTTTGACTACTTGTCGCTTAGTTTCGGCTTAATTTGGGTTAGTTCAGCCCTGTGTAACATCAGGAGCTAAACGTCGCTGCGCGGTCCACGCCACGTCAACCCATTACCCATCGTGCCCCTCCACTATCTCCCTATAAAGCTATACTCGAGTAATTCTTAAAGGTAGTAATTTCCTATTTCAAATACAAACTCTTACATCTAATTCCCCTTGTTTCAATGATTATCTAATCTTTCTTGTTTGTAGATCAAAATTTGATGGCATTCGATGATTGCTGCCTTTGATCTGAGTAGTATCAATCAATACCTCTTGTGTATATAAGACTTTAACTTCAATATGACGGGTGCCTTGGGCGACGAGATCATAAGCGATGTTCAAGATATGAAAGAATCCAGCAAAATTTGCCAGTATTGCCATAATTGGATACCGTGGGACACATTCCGCCAACACTTGATATACACGCCATCTGAAATCACCTATGCCAACTGGATTGCTGGTATTTTTCAATCTTCTTGTCTGCACTGCCAAGTTTTACTACAAGCAATACAAAAACTTGCGCCGGATTTCCTTACAATTGATCCCACTATCGTGGACGACATTGATCTTTTTGTACATGAAAAAGGTAGGTTTATCGTTGATGTTTGGCCCCGTGTTTCCCATCTCTGCGGTGTTGATATTCAGATATTCTCCACTACAAATGGTATGTTAAGCTTCTCACAAGAAAACTTGAAGCATTAAATATACAGTTATTTACTGAAGTCTATGCTTTTAATCCAATTTTCTAACAATTCAGTGACGGAATTTCCATTTATTCAAACAGTCAGGGAGATCTCTCTGATACCTGGCGATGACCTTATGTGGTCATTTTTGCGTGGGTGCCTCCAAGACTGCATAGAGCAACATGATGTGTGTAAAGAGATACAAGTTGGGAATTGGAACCCAAAACGACTTCTCCGTATTTTGCGGCCGGAAAAAGGAGAGCGTCTGTTGCAACTCATGGATACCAATATTCATCAACCCACATCTCGCTATATTACTTTGAGCCATTGTTGGGGACAAGAATCTCCACTCTGTACCACATCAGAGAATATCGATCGCCATCGATATCGTATAGAAATCGCTGAACTTCCAAGGACATTCCAGGATTGTATTTCAGTCGCGAATGAATTGAGCGTCCACTACCTCTGGATTGACTCACTTTGTATCATACAAGATTCCACGACAGACTGGGCACAGCAATCAGAGATTATGGATAAAATTTACGAAAATGCACTTCTAACCGTCTCCGCGGTTTCATCTCATAATAGCAAAATCCCCTTTCTTGGGAGTGAATCACCCAGTAACCGCCACCGCCATCAATCAGTTTCCCTAAATGTCGACAAACAATTGTTCCCAGCGTCTTCGGAAATACGAGCTCGTCATTATGGACAGCTGCTTGAATCGAATCGGGTTTTTGGTCCACTTGAAACAAGGGCTTGGGCATGGCAAGAGCGACAGCTTTCTGTAATGACTGTCAACTTCACGGAAGAGGAATTACGCTGGTGTTGTCAGACTTTGTCTGTGAGCGAATCTTCTGGAGCGAGAAATACGATTCAAGTACACACCGGTGAAAATAACACCCCGTTGGACCCAATGCATGAATGGCAAGGTGTTGTGGAAGACTACTCTAAACGTCGTCTAACATACGCAACTGATCGACTTCCGGCATTGTCTGGTTATGCTCGCCGATTCCAAACTCGGTCGCAATCTGAGTACATGGCTGGACTCTGGGCATCTGATTTTCCCAGATTGATTGATT